GAATAAGCTTGATATCGTGTTGATGGACCAGATGGAGTCTCGGGTATTTCTGGTGGATATCACCATCCCCTACGACGAGAACCTCGTGCGGGCCGAGGCAGATAAAAAGACCAAATATTTGGACATGTCGCACGAGGTGACCGACATGGCGAGGGTGGTATCTACAGAAATAATCCCGGTAGTTGTATTGGTGAATGGTTTGGTCCCTAAAAGCCTCTCAAAACATCTCGAGAGGCTTGGTTTCAAGAGAAAGTCGGTGGTGGCCCAAATGCAAAAAGCAGTCTTGCTGGACAATGCCCCTCTAGTTCGCCGGATTCTCGCCTAATAGTCCCTAACGCTCTGGCTGATTGTTGACCACCTCGCCGGAATGTGTCCTGCCGTCTACTCAGGCGAGGCAGTGTTTAATACACATAATAATAATAATAATACATACTATAATATAATAATACCTAATGGCGATATTTAAATTTATTTTTAATTCTAATGTAATTACAATTTTTTGTATTGTGTTAGTACAGTTTATAAAATTTCAATTTTTGATATTAATTTTCATACACTTAGTAGGAAAATTCAAAATATTTAAAAAACTTCAGTGAAAAACACGTTTGCGACCGAAGAAAGGGATAAGAGGAAGCTGTAATTTGAAGAGATGGTGTCGTGAGAATGACAAAATGGGCCTTATTAAAAACACCTATAACTTAAGGATTATTAAGATGGAAACTGTAGATAAGATGATCAAAATGCGGAAAGAATACCGTAACAACTGCAGGTTGGTTATTATGAGTGGATTAACATATAATTTATAAATTAACGAACCGAATAGAAAATTAGTTCCGCTGTCTCTATTTAAAAAAATAATTGCAGTAAAACTTTATTATTTCTATTTATTCTTTGTATATATTGCATTATGTAGAGTGAATGCGTGTAAAATGGAATTGTTTCTACTAGGAGGATCAAAAAGTAGTGATAATGAGATAGAACATAATGGCTATTGATAACTTAATACTTTCTTTTTCTACATAGTCCCCGAGTCTCTCTACACACCGATTCCAGCGCTTTTGCAAGGCTTCGACCCCTTAAAAAAAGAGTTCTGTCTTGATCCTGCAAAAAGCTCTCTATGGCATCCATCACTTCGTTATCATCTTCGTACCTGTTTCCCCTTAAGTATTCTTTCAATTTGGGGAATAGGTAAAAATTGCTAGGCACCAGACCTAGTGAATAAGGGGGATGGTCAACCAATTCGAAGCCAGCTTGCTGAATGGCAGCTATTGCAACTGCCTGTGCACGGGTGCATTGTCGTGATGAAACAGCACGCCCCTTCGAAGTTTCCCTCTCCTTTTTTTTATGGGTATTTCTCAACTTGAAAATTAAAGCTGCATAATATTGGTCTGTAATAGTGGTTCCACGCTCCAGGTAATCAATCAACAATATCCCTTCTGAGTTCCAAAATATTAAGAATCTTCTTAAAACTTGTCCAACAATATCTTCGAATTGTCAAGTCGATTTTGGTTCTGACTGTCGGTAAACGTTCTTGGCACCCATCTTGCGGAGACTTTTCTTATATTCAAAGATTGCTTCAATATGGATTGAATACTTCCATATGAAATGCCCGTTTCTTGTATTAAGTATCGGATGGCAGCTCTTCAATCGCTCAATACAATTTTCTCGACTTTCACAACATTTTCTTGGGTGACTGACGTCGATGGACGACCCAAAGATTTCGTCTTCCGTGCTCGTTCTCCCTACTCGAAATTGAGAAGCCCACCTTGCGACAGTTGAATACGGCGGAGCCGACTCTCCTAATGTTGCCTCCAAATCGCAATGAATATCTTGGGTCGTTAACTTTTTTATACAGAGGTATTTAATAACGGCTCGCACTTCGTTTTTCTCCATTTTCGAGAACACGTTCTGACACGAAGCAAACAAATGACTACATTCAGAAAAAAACAAAAGAGAATCGAAGATTTTTTCTTACTATTACAAATATGTATCTGAGCTATGCCTTTTTTTTTTTTTTTTTTGGGTAGAGGGCCGAACCTCCTACGAGGTCCCCGCGCAAAAGGGGCGCGCGGGGTATGTGAGACTCAACGATCTGCATGGTGTTGTGAGCAGACCGCGGGCCCAAGGATTTTAGGACCCACCCACTAAACGACTCCCCTGCACTCTTACACCCGACGCCCGATCCCCTCCGAGGTCAGAACCCGGATGAGGTAGGGGGGCTACCGCGGTCAACACTACAACCAGACGGCGCGGCTCACCCCAAGGACGCCCAGCCGACGGAGCCTTCGAGGCGAATCGAAGGCTCTGAAACGTCGGCCGTCTCGGTACGGCAGCCCGTCGGGCCGCCCAGACGGTGCCGCTGGTGTCCCGGAATACCCCGCTGGACCAGAACCAGCCTGCCGGGTCGGGACGCGATACACCGTCGACCGGTCGCTCTATTCACTCCACGGCAGCGCGCTAGAGTGCTGGTAGCGCGCCGCGCGGCCTCACCCCCTCAGGTCGCCCCTTGACCTTCACCGGGGGGAGGCCGCCACCTACAGGGGCCGGGACGTACGGGCGTATTCCCGCCTCCGGCCCCCGGCTCGACGGCGACGGATCGGTGCGGAAAGGGAAGAGCTCTCCCTCTCTCGCTCCGCCGCCTCCTTCTGCGAGATGGTGGACTCGCAGAAGTCGAGCATCGCCTTCCAGGACGCGTCGCTGCCGAGCATCGTAGCCACGACGCGCGGCAGCGAGAGGTCCTCTCCTATGACCGCGACGAGGGCGGCGCGTTGCTCGTCGAATCCAGAGCAACGCGCCAATGTATGTTCCGCTGTGTCTTCCTCGTCGCGGTCCGCGCAGTGGTGGCACTGCGCCGTCGGTTCCCTTCCGGCTATCTTAAGCAAGTACCGGCCGAAACAACCATGGCCGGTAAGCATCTGCGTTAGCCGGAAGGTGAGGCATCCGCGGTCGCGGCCCACCCAGTCCGCGAGAACCGGGCGGACCGCCTCGACGGTTCGGAGGCCGGCCGACGGGTCCGCCAAGCGGCGAGACCACGCCTCCAGCACGGACCGCCGAGATTGGAGCCTCCGCGCTCGAACTACTCCTTCGCCGGGGCGCCCTTCCCCCCTAGAGCGGAGGTCGCTACGCCACCTGTAATCGGCAGCGAGCGCCTCCGCCTCCAGGTCCCAGGGTGGCGCCCCGGCGAGCAAGCACGCCGCCTCGAAGGAGACGGTGCGGTATCCTCGGATCGCCCTGACCGCGATCGCGCGCTGCGGACGTCGCAGCGCCGCGACGTTCTCGCGGGTCAGGGCGTGGCACCATACGGGAGCACCGTATAGTGCCATCGACCGCACCACCCCCATGTAGAGGCGGCGCGCCACCTGATCGGGACCCCCGACGTTTGGAAGGAGCCGGCTCAGAGAGCCGGCTGTCGCCATCAGCCGAGGGCCCAATTTTTCGAAGTGAGCGCGGAAGCTCCACCGACCGTCCAGTTCGAGGCCGAGGTACCGAAGACCGGTCACCCCGACCCCGACGCGGACGCCTCCGATCACGAGGTGATCTGAGCTATGCCTGCCAGTATATTTTTTTTCTTACCAAGGATGTATGTTGTTCTCACTACTTTTTGATCCCTCCTCGTATCTTTACCACCTTTCTTTATTTGGGAAATTATAGCACGCGCTATATTTACTGCGGAAGAATGCAAAAAAAAAAAAGTTTAAAAAAAAAAAAAAAAAAAATATATATTTAAATGCTTGTAATGGTATATTTTCAACTATTGTTTTTTGATCTGAAATACTAATATCATTATTAATATGAATTTTCTCAAAGAAATTGAAAAGGGTGGCTCCCACCGAAAAGTGAAAAAATAAGAAGTATGTAAAATGTGTAAAATATGCGACGTAGTAGTTATGCCGACATAGCATGTGAATCGCTCAAAAATATTGCATATTTAAAAAGTAAAAAAATCGATTTATACGTGTAAAATGATTAAAATTTTGTTTCCGAAGTTTGAATTTATCAATTAATTTCATTAAACTGATGAAAGATCGATTTTTTTATCGTTAGAGCTAGTGTCCTAACATTTGAACGTTTGTGTGTGTTTTACCACCTCAAAATTGTAGGTATTTCACAATTATTTGTATCTGATTAACTAGGCATCGTGTATATATTGGAGCTTTTTGCGAAAAAGATGTGTTAAGTGCTTTATAATTTCAAATACATTAACTGAGCTTCTGTAAGAATATAAATTTCGCAATAGTTATCAATAATTTTAAATTTGAATACACAATTAAATACAATACATGTAATATGTCAATACGGATATATGTATTATAAAAATACTTCAGCTTAAAAATTGTATACAAAGGTTCATTCGCTTTGCAAATTTATAATTTCAACAAAAAGTAATCTATTTAATAATAAATACAACCGAACTGTAAAAGTAAGCTCTTTTTTTCTTGTTTAAACTCCGTTGTATATAGGTTAACCTTTGTTTTATTTTAATTTTTGCAAATTTCGTTCTAACACTCTTACTTGACATAATGTGTTCTATTGATGATCACATACCTATATATATTTATGAAGACACAAGCCCTCGCCAAAGAAAATAAAAATTAAAAAGTTTTCGTAAGGATCAAAATAAGTATTAATACATAAGTTTAAACAAACTCCGTCGCTTCTATAAGTCGGAGTTTTTTTAAAGTAAGTAGTAAGTAAAGCATCATCGCTTTAAGAACTAGAATTTCATATCGTATCTGATATAAGTAGTGTTTTGTAAGGTGTACGAGTATCGAAGGTCGGTAAAATGATCATGATACAATTTATAAAAGTAACATTTACTACACATTCAACGAGATTATAAAACGAGAAAGTTGAACGAAGCATCGCTTTGTACCTACCTACTATCTTTTGAAAAGAAAAAAAAAGGAACGTTCCAGAGATATTTATTGTTTTCGTATGTTAAACTATCAGGCGAGATGGTTACGTAACTGAAATAGAGATACAAAAAAATACACACTTACTGTTTTGATTTTGCTTAGCGCGTTGCGTGTAAAGGTTGCGTGGCGATTGCAAACAAACTTGCGCGCGTACAGCCTGTAGCCGACTGAATGGATAAAGCCGGTGGAGCCTGCAGTAAGTAAAAGTGGCCGTATAAGATTGTATACGAGGTGGAGTACAATTGTCATAGGGGGTATCAGATGTATTGCGATTGTGTACTCTAAATGGGAACGCGGGGCGGAGTAGCTGCTGTACTTGAAATTATTTTTTGTGTCTTTGAGAAATAGGTGTAGGTAAGGCGTTAGGAAAATAAACCCATTAAGTATATAGATTCAAATATTTTTACATATTATTATTATTATTTTATGGCCTTTGTAGGCAGAAAAGCACACGGCCCACCTGATGGTGAGTGGTTACCGTCGCCCATGGACTTCAGCAATGCCAGAAGCAGAGCCAAGCCGCTGCCTACCTTTTCCTGATTCATACGAGGACTTAAAAAAATTACCGAATTTTACCTAGTAAGGCGTATTGTGATAAATGTCTGTCAATCGCAATTTGTTGATTTCACAGCATCCCAGTTCATTAGAAATTAAAAGACAAAGATTGAGTTCTAAATCATAAAAATTGGAACATTTCATTAAATTTCGCATATTATTGCTGTCTTGAAATATTTGAAGGTGACGGGAGAGATGTGCCGCACTAAATGCTTCACTTTTCCCCCTTTGCCTTTTCATGAGTTCTGTTTCATGCGAGGTTTGGACGTTTGTTGTTGAGCGATAGGAGGTTTTAGTCGGTTCGACTCCGACATGCTCCACCTGCCATCCAAAAAAAATGTTTTGAAATCAATTCAATTACTTCGATAAGGCCATAAGGTCATGATGATCGCCTCATTGTTGTCGCCGTTGACTACTTCGCGGCTCTGGCATGCAGGAGCTAGTCACCGTCGGCGCCCTAAATACGTCCTTACGCATGTATCAGATCTGTTAATTCTATCATTAGACGCTTTCGGCTCTAGCAGGAGCAGCTCTAGGAGCAGGCTTAGGGACCCTGATAGCCGTACTCGTCGAACTCTACAAAGAGCTTTGGGATTGAAATCGCAACCTGCTGAGAAAATCCAGCGAGAAACTCAGCGGACTTTTATATGGGTTAGGTTGCACGACGAACTTTTTGTCGAGTTGCGTTGCGATTCCAACCCGGTAGTAAATGTATTCGCGAAGCAGTTGCAGTTGCAATACAGTTAGCGGCAGCACACTAAAAATAAGTTTATTTGTAGCCATTTTGGCTTCATTTTAGTTGTTTATTTCGTCGATTGATAAGAAAGTTACCCCCTCTACGTGTTGATGTAATATTATGCCTATAAATTAGACTTTAAAAGTGAAACTGATGTTGTGTATGATTTCTAAATTGAATTTTATTGAAGTTTCTATATTACTGGTGGTAGGACCTCTTGTGAGTTCGCACGGATAGGTACCACCACCCCGCCTATTTCTGCCGTGAAGCAGTAATGCGTTTCGGTTTGAAGGGTCGGGCAGCCGTTGTAACTATATTGAGACCTTAGAACTCATATCTCAAGGTGGGTGGCGGCATTTACGCTGTAGATGTCTGTGGGCTCCAGTTACCATTTAACACCAGGCCCACCCACCCAAGTAATTATTTAAAATAATTACTTCGCCTGTTACTATAATTAAACGAAATTTTAATAGATACTTTCTATACCGTAGAATTTAACCTTAGAAGTTACTTTATTTGGCATAAAAATATTGAAAAAATAATTATTTATGAAATCATCTTAAAGGGACATAGACAACATCAGTCAGATGTTTTTTTAGGAATGAGGGATAACGCGACACCCTCGGAGGTTTTTCCACTTCCAGTTTTTCACCAGGACAGGCGGGAGAGTACGGGCTTAGTCTGGAGGGGGATTTGCTAACAGTTACCCGAGAGGTTATAAAGGAGACCTAACTGTTTTTCAACTGCAGCTTCTTCGCGAATGCAGTAGCTGCATCGGATCGCAATCTCGATAGGAATGGCGATCTTTTGATAAGATCTGGCGAGAATTTCAGCGGGTTGATGTATGGGTTAAGCTTCAAAGACATTTCATCAATATCGGTGCAGCCACTGAGGGTTTAGGGATAGAAGATATATAATATATTTAAAAAAAGTTAAACTAATTAGGTGAGGTTTGTTTATAAAAGAAGTAGACATACACGATCCTGTTGCATGTTTTTGAATTAAGTCAGTTTTGATAGAATAGAATACACATGTTAGGGTGTATTTTCAGTTCAATTTTTTTATCGTCAAACTATCAAATATATTAAGTGTATAATCTATGGTCAAACTTTTCGGCGGTAGAAATTTTGGAGGTTATATTTACTCTTTCATAATCGATTTAATCGACCGTTGAACGCTCACTAAAACCGAGTGTTTCCATAAAAAAAATTATGTTTTTCTTTCAACTATAAAAATAAACTTTATTGAATTAATTGTCACGCTGTATCGAGTTTAGTGTAGTAAAGTCTTTTTAAAATTTCAATTTACCAAAAATTGAGTAAGTGTGCCAATATTTGGAATAGGTGTCAATAGTTTAAATTATTAATGAAATAGTTAACATAAAAATGTTAAATATTAGATTAGTATTCTATATTTTAGTTATGTTATAATAATTTTAATTGAACATGTTATTCTGTTAGTGCTATCCAAGTAAAATATTTCAACATGGTATAACTAAAGTTAAATAATTAAATAATTGTTAAATAAAATTACGATGTTTTATTATATACTCTATATAATACCTACGATTATGCATTATTATACATTTATTGAATAAAATAAATCACAATCAAAGTACATAGGTACAAGCTTTTAATATTTTTGTCTTCCTTTGCCTATTGTATATTTAATGAAAATCCCTCTTTATGATAAAACTAGTTACTAGCTGATACTGATAAGCACATGCGTGCTTTAATTTTATGTAAAATGCACTTTTATTGTAAAATATAATCCACAAGTAGGTAAAGAGCCCGTAAGTTTTTTTTATATTTTTTTGTGTTAATTTTTATATACTGACTTCATAAAAGGGATTTAACTCAATTTCCAGAGAACTAAATTCTTGCTTTATGTCACTGGAACTTCAGTAATCGTAAGTTGTTGAAAAAATTTGACAATAAAATATAATGAAATATGTGGTAGCATTTTAATAATGGCCCACGGATTTCAGACATACTTAACAATAAACGTTTATTAAGTAAATAATACACTTAAACAGGACGATAACTTCATCTTCATTATTTTTTTCTATTAAACATGTATTATTCCATATAAGTTAATTTAAACAATAATTAAGTAACTGGATGAAACATTATTATCTTACAACGTTGTGCAAACTTGGATCAATCAATCCTCCAGGTTACGTTTATTTAGGGTATGCTTTACACGTGTAACTTCATGTCGCCCAGTCTGTATACGGGCCACATACATTCGCATCCAGCAGGTATCACCAGCGTCCTAGTCTCCCAACAATCACTAGAAAATCGAGAATGGTATTTAAATTAATTTAATATATTCGTTTAGATTTCGCTAAAACTAGCAAAATCGTCAAAAACAAATTAGGTAACGTATGTTAATTTTAAAAGCTATTCATTAAAATGAGTCGTTTGATTCGAAATATGCTATTAATATTCTTAAACCGCTCGCACTGGTTCAGATCGTTTACGTTTGGTAGGAAGTTGGTATGACTGTGAAGATTATATAAATAAATATTTCTATTTATACCTGGAATACCGCCTCCTTGTCAAATGTATGGTCTTATTCCATTGAACGCAAGAAAAGCCGAGACTCGAACAAATCTAAAAAACGACCATTCTATAATTAGTATATAAATGAATGAAGAAATAGAATCCAAACTGAAAACTTGCTGTTGAATTCGTTCTAAATATAGTTTCATTAGATTATTATAATAGGAAATACAAAGAGTATTTGTGCCAAAAGTGTTTCGAAATATCGATCTTAACAATGATGTTCAATGATTTATGGTCAAAATGTCAGTTGTATTATATGTTTATCAGTTGTCCGGCACGTCTGCCGATGGTGGCATTTACCCACGGATTTTTTAATAACGCTCTACCATAAAATTAATGAATTTGCCTAATTATTACGTTATTAATATAAGTAATAATTACGCAAATTTATTAATTTTGCGGTTTGATTTTTATTATTCGATGTTTTTCTTTCATTGTCGAAGTTGTTCATAAACAAGTGATCAGTACGTATTAGCGCAGGCTGCGTATTTGGACCGTAGCTGAAACACGACGTAACGGCTATATCAAAATTAAATAAAAGTACTAGGGGTAAACGTGTAAAGGTGATAATGGTTATGACGCAACTATCTACTATCAAAAGACTATTATTGATCGAAGATCAAAAGTAATTTTATGTTTCGACGTAGTCACCTTTGAGGTTATTACACTTTGTATATTTTTATTCTAAAGCTAAAATAACCCTTTTTTATATTCCTGATGCCTTAAAAAATCGTATAACGGGGCGACCGCTTCGTCATCATCTTTAAATTTATGGCTTCTACGATGTTCCTTTAACCGCAGCAATAAGTAAGAATCATTAGGAGCTAGGTTCGGTGAATATGAAGGATATTCTATCATTTCAAAGCCAGCTTCTTGAATGGCAGCCATCGCAGCTCGGGACTTGTGCATGGGGGCTTATCTTCGTGATACAAAATAACTTCAGCGAGTTTGCCACGTCGTGGCTCGCGTATTTCCTCATGAAACTTTGTTATTTGTCCTGCGTACAAAGTCCCTATAATAGTGGCTCCATGATTAAGGTATTGGATCTTTACCACACTTTCGCTGTCCCAGAAAAACTGCCCACATGATCTTACCGGCGGATGAAAGCACCTTAATTTCTTCGAAGTTGGAGATGGCGGTCTCTTACAAATTTGAAACAATGTTTCGACAATAGTTATGATTCCTGCCAAAAATCGATCAAGATCTCGTTGTGTGTTACAACCCAAACAGATTTTATGAAATTCTCAGTCTTGTTTGTTTCTGCGCGTCAGAAAGCATTCTGGACACCCAGCGTGCTGACACTGTTTTCATAGCAAAATGGTTGTGTATAAATAATATTATGGACAATTCCTATAGAAATTTTCATTTGTTCTGTTACAAAGAAACAGTAACACGATGATTCGTCAAGACAATTTTATCCAGTTTTAAATCATTTGTTCAGTCACTACCGACGTAGGTCCGTGTGAGGGACATCGTTAATGTAAGTTCTTTCTCATTTGAACTCAAGACACCACTGCACAACCGTAGAATATGAAGGAGCATGAACCCCTAATGTTGCTCTCGAGTCATGATATGTCAGCCTCGTAGTAAAAAAATTCAAGCAGAGATATTACTGCGCAAACTCGAATTTTATCCATTTTTATGAACACTTTCCGATACATCGTAAACAAATGACTTCTATTTTTTTAAAATAACAAAGAATTGATTGCTTTATTATTATTGTTATTATATCTAATACATGTCAGTATCTTTTTTCTTTCCAAGGAGAATGTAACGTGTTGTCACTATTGAACAAGCCTCTTATATTTAATTTTGTAATTTAAGGTGTGTTGGCTGTGAGCTAATGAATCAGCTTAACCGAAAAAAATGCTTATCGATTAGATCGAAATAATGTAGTTGGCAATAAGAGTAAATTTTAAAATAATATTTAGCTTTGGTGTGGCATGATTTAATTGCAAAAATATCTTATGATAAAGATTTAGTTATGGCTGCCGACCTTTTTGAAGATTCTAGGTCACAAGAGTGGGTTTTATTTATATTTATTTATTTCAAAGAAAATATAACAACAAGTTAACGATAGAATAGAGTCGAGAGTCGATAGAGTAGAGTCGATTGTATACCTCATTCGTTACTCCGAGATCTTCACTTGTAGCCATTGTGCATCGAACTTCTTCGTAGTAGGCGGGTCGATATTCGTATTCGTCGGTATTCAACTTTTTTATCTTCCTCTCGAGATGGCAGATTGGGTAATGTTTCTGAAAAGTAAGGTTCGGCTATACATAATTATATGATCTTATATTGATTGCTAGTATATATTGTTAGCTATAGTAGTTGATAGAATTTAAACTGCATTCATCTTTTGAAGCTTAGAATTATTCAACTAACAATTTCAACTGGTAATTCTATCGTGTCCTCTTTAACAATCACTCTATGACGAAATATTAAAGCTATATCTGTCTTCTAACAGTAGCCTGGTTGTTACGTCATTACAGCATTGCTCTTGATGAGATTTTAAAAGTCCAACTTTCTTCCGTTGTTGTCTACATAACAGTGAAATAATACCGTTGCGAAGGTTGTACGTAACCTAAGACGAGTATTATTTACGTGTTACCGTGTAATGCTCTGATAACATCGTCAGGCACTCGAAGATATTTACTGTAGTAAATATAGATTTACTACAAATTCCGTTAAAATCCAATACTTAATCTACCTATACCAAAATATGATTTAACTACACATTACGGTTTTATTTATTTGCTTTTAAGATTTGTTTTTGCCTTTTGTATACGTTGGCACATATAAATATTTTAGGTACTTAAATTAATTATCTACTATTTTCGGAAAATGTTTTCCAACTAGAAAGTAATCAAATAATGTAAGACTTAGTAAGGATCAGGCATTATGACCTGAACTTCTTTAACATAATTTGCGACTTGCTTAGTAAAAGCGTACTTATTATTTTTCAAAGGTTTTTTTTTTTTTTTTTCATGGGTTTTGATCATAAATTGATAAACTTGTTTTTAATCTTAATTGACAATAATAGCAAATAGAGTTCAATTTAGATCAAAATCCCTCAATAGGTTTTTGGACACACTGAACGGTGTATGAAGTTATTATTATATCTTACCTGCGTAGTCACATGCCTCAATTCCTTTTCTCTCGAAGGCTGTATTGATTCAGTATACTCAGGCAAAACCTGAAACATTAAAGTAAATAAATATTTAAAATATACATCCCGTTTTATTGGCTTGTATGTGTTGTAATTCAGAAGAGGTGCTTGTCCTAGTACCATCAGGATAAAATATATGCGGCACGTTGTTAGCTTCACCGAATGTATAATATATTTCGCATAACGAAGCGTGACAGTCATTTATGAGTATTTATTATGACAAAATAATGTTTTCAACATGAAGTTTTCATTCCAAATTACTACTGCTGTTGATTGAAGCATCATGTACCTAGTTAACCGCCCTCATATCAAGTCCAAAAAAGGTGAGACGACGTAGCACGTACAGATTTTAAGGCACATATTTAAAATGCACATAAATCAATTTATAAATGGTCAATGACAAAACAGCTACTTACGTACAGTGTTTTCAGTGCTATTCACGGGCATTATCAATAAAAAAGACGGGAAATGTATTTTATTTTAAATGTCAATATTATATGTAAACCAAAGCGAAAAACAACTCAAGAACGTAAAATGGTACTATTACATATATCAGTTACACATGTCAGTGTTACTATTACGTACTCTTACTCGTATAGGTAAGTAAAACAAACGAGTGAATGACTTCGCGGTCTATTCTCTGTGATTTTTGTCTAAGCTATTCACTGGTAGCCCCGAGGGGCTATTCCAGCTTCCCTGACCTAGGAGCTCAATGAGCCTAGCCTGAGATACTTTGAGAGACAGCTTTACTTGTTCCCTTGTTGTAAGAACAGTGCTTCGCCGAATCTACCACTGAATAGGAATCTCGACCCACTGAGAAGATCCAGCGAGAAACTCACTGGGTTGTGTCAGTGGGGCTGGTTATTCAATGACTTGAGTTGAATTCAGTACCGTCGCTCATCTAGGAACTCATATATGAACTCAAAGTCTCGATTGCATTAATATCGGATGTTCGACCCTTATAAGGAAGTAAGTTACAGTTTCGCGGCAGAAATACGTTAGACGGGCTTACGGTTTACCAAGACTCGTGATTCCGCAATTTAAAAAATTGGAATAGAGTGTTGCTATCCATCCTGAGACATGAAGTCTCCTTTTTTATTTCTTTTTTCTCTTTTTTTTCTTTTTTTCCTACCTATGCTGATAACCTTAAGAGGCTACTTCAGCTTCGCCCTAACATGTAGCCTCACGGGGCTCAAACCGGAGTGTTGCTAACAATGGCCCTAGCAAGAGCAGTGCTTCACAGACTCTACCACCGGATGGGAAACGCGACTCACTGAGAAGATCCGGCGAGAAACTCAGTGGGCTGTGTCTATGGGTTAATTCGTTCGTCGAGCCCTTCGTCGCAAGTCACGAGTTCGAGGACAGTGACATAAAGTCTCCGATTCGACTCTATTGTACCACCGTCTTACCCTTTAAACCGCAACGTAACGCTTTGTGGTATAAGTAGGCAAAATAAAGGTAGCTTACCATGCGGCTTAATACACGAATTCGGAATCTGTGCCAAAGTAAAGAATTAAATCAATAATAAATTACCACAGTCTCAGAGTCTTGACAATCGCTGTTGTCGAGACGTGCTTCCTTAGCTAATGCTTGTCTGTTTCTCTCAAGCCTTCCAAGAACTGAATTGAGGACTCTGTCAGGATTCGGGATACGGAGAACATGTTCTATGAAGTCTCTGGCTGACTCTTCACTGCTGCTCATCGACCCGAGACATAAAGTTACACATAACGCCTGCCGACATAATTCATTGTTAAACTATCAGCTTGAAATGGCAATAAATGTATAATATTATTAAAATCATAAATCTCAAATGCTATAGTATAATATTGATAGGTACTCGATAGGTAGACCTAGAGGCTCTAAAACTAGTGGGCTTTGTTCAAATTGATGATTTTGTCAAAAAATCATTTGTCAAAAGGATTTAGTGAGAAGTTAGAAACAAGAACAATTCGTGAGTGAAAACTAATTGGTGAAACAATATAGTTTCTATTCTGCGGGTGCTATGTGGGCATATATCGGTATCTCAAGATGAATAGCCAAAAAGACGATTCTCTTCTTCTTTGTATTTTCTTCTAATATTATTGTGGGAGTTACAGTTATAGTTGAAAGCGATTTACAGTTACAGCAGATTGAAGTCAGCGGAGTTCATTACAAAATTTTGTAACCTAATCGTATTTTCGTGATACTCGTAGTAGGTACATTGAAGTGTAAAAAATAGATACTATCCTACACTTATTTGCCATGAAATTGGTAATATTATGAATGTTCGCATTTGTGATAAAAATAAAATATTTCTTGAAATATACAAGTTTTCTGATCTGAAAAGCGGTATAACTGTGAGTTCATAATAATCGAAATATATTTATTGGTTTATTACCAAAATAATGAACGTTACATATTTAAAAATTAATGATATTAAAACAATTGATTACTCTAAACTCTAGTAACTAAAAATCTAAAAGCGCTTGCACTAAAAAAAACTGACTAAAATCAATAAATAAAAAACAACAAAAACTAAAAATAATAACAGTAATAATAGATTCAGAGGCGAGAGAGCTAGCATAACAAAGAAAATATCACATTAAAATTTATATTCTTTTACGTCACTTACATGAGTATAATGCATCTACAGTTTACATTAACTTAAAGTATCACGATTCTCAGGTCGCAGTGACACTGGTATTGTTTTTAAATAAATACAATTTAATGGCATCTGGTTTTTTACGTGTTTATTTGGTTTTTTTTCTCTTTATCTATGTTAGATAATACAAGGGACAGTCCTAGTTTTCGTTGTACAATAGGTCGTACATTTACTATCAAAAATCGGCTGTATCATAATAAACGGCTAACGATACTGCACGATTTTTTAAGGGATTTTACTATTTAGCTACGGAGCCTTGAAATTCACACGTTATGTTAGTAGTATGTATTTGATAAGCTTCATATGGTGCTGACACGTATGTATGTTGAGCATCGTTTTTTTATGGTTTAAGGATTACTGGTGGCCCGGAGGCCTTTCCAGTTTCACCAGGACAGATGGGCGAGCAAAGGCTTAGCCAGGAGGGGTGGGATTAGTTAAAAGCTGTCCGAGCGCCTCCAAAGGAGACCTAACAATTCAAGAGCAGCTGCTTCGCGAATGAACCTATTATCAGATTTCGGAAACGCGACCCGCTGAGAAGATCCGGCGAAAAACTCAGCGGGATGATGTTTAGATTAGGTTGCACGTCGAACTCTTTGCGAGTTCGACGAGTACGGTTACCGGAGTCTCTGAGCCTACTTCTAGTGTTAGAGCTAAAGGTGTCTAATGCAACGGTTATTGGATCTGATGGATCAGTAAGGACATGTCTAGGGCGACGGTGACTGTCTCTTGCGTGATCAGGATTTGGGCAGTAGTCTGACTGATTGACTGATTTTATGTTCTGGTGAAATGTCATCGATGCATCCAGGTTGACTCCCAGGTACTTGACCTTCCTGGGTCAGGGTATTGGTTGGCCGAAGAGGGTGATCAGTGTTGTGAGATTTCTCCTTCTAATGCCGGAGGAAATACGGGTTGGGTTTCCCTATTTGAAAGAGCACCAAGGTTGATGTGCGCCATTTTCGGAACCACTGTAGAGGGTTACGGCTGCGCGCTGGAGCTTCCTCGCTATTAGGGACTTGTTTCTACTCGAGTAGTAAACGGTCATGTCATCGGCGAATAAGGCTAACTGGGTCGGCGGCGACCGGGAAATATCGTTGATAAATAAACTGAATAGGAGCGGAGAGGACGGAACCTTGCAAGACTCCAGCCGTGAGCAGTCGCTCTGAAGTGACGTATTATAAGCACGAGACTGTCCAGCACGCCCATGTTGAATAGTCTGAAAATCAAACCGTCATGCCACAATTTGACGAACGCTTTTGCGACGTCGAAGAAGAGAATTCCTGTGTAGAGCAGTTTTGGTTGATTAAGCCCTACGAGAATGTACTCCGTGAAGCGGTGTACCTGTTGTATGCATGAGTGATTTGTGCGGAATCCGAATTGGTCATCGATAAGAATGTTCTTGGATGAGACGAACTCTCTGAGGCGTTTGTAAAGCAGACGCTCATACAGTTTACCTAGAGACATGAGGCTAATCGGGCGGTATGAGCACTGTAACAGTGCGTCAGAACGTGAGTGCGCACATGTTATAATGAATACTACTGTGATATCAATACTAATGGTTTAACAAATGGTTTAGATTAAGATATGTCTTCTTTTTTGTTTCGTTTAGAACAATCGTGAAAATTTGATCATTCGAATTAAAGAAAAATGAATTAAAATGTTTCGGAGTTCATTTTTTCAAAACTACACGATTTAAGCATCCTCATAGGCGCTAACAGCTAAGATAAGAGCTAACTTTTCCCTTAAATTATATGTTAAGTTATTAATGTTATGATGAGGATGAAACCAGAATTCTCGTTAACTTTCGACCTATTGCCAGAAAGGGTTAGACAATACCTTGAAAAACGGTGTAACAGGTAAGGTTGAAAAAAAGAATCCACGGAGAATCACAATTCTGAACAATCAAATCCGATCTACGCGCGTCTCTACCATTTGTGACGGCTTTAGCGGCTCGTAGGTATAAAAGGAGGAATAACAATTCTTGATGAAATTATGTATAGAGGTCGCAATTCTTAGTCCTGAGGATATCGACATACATATGTATTTGAGCGGACGAGAATTACGAGCCTACTTGTGTTGGTAGGGGTGTCTTCTTGGATATTTGTTATTTTATTGAAGCTCTGATCTCATGTTAAAGTGAGAGGAGATATTTACGTTGTTGTGTCTACCGATTTCAGAAACATTTTATTTCCGGTTCGTATTCGCGTTCTAAAATACTGATGTCCAATTAGGGCTTAACGTTTATCTCTTCATTTGTTAGTTTATATCCTACTATATGCGTTTCGTCATATATGTATGTAGGTACCAAATTAGTTTCATTGTAGATGTAGATCGACCCATAGCCACTTATGCTGTACGACAGTAGTTCGAAACAGTTGGGAGTAAATAAAAATTAAAAATGTTAAAACTAAAATCTAAGTAGATACAAGAAAAAAAAATGTTTTAAGTATGTTATGCATGTTACTTAATAAGAATCTTATATTGGTTACTAAGATTTTTCTGAAATGTTTCAAAAGATTAATACTAACTACAGGATGTAGCAGAAGCGTGTGTCAAAGTCGAAACGGTAATAAGATTAATATGTTATAATAGATTTACTCGTGATTCTGCAATATGAAGCGAATGTAGCTAGCTGTTCTCTCTCGTTTTCCCTTAGACGATGTTCAATTTGCTTAAGGAAACAATACTGATGACGTTTCTTAAAAAGATTGTTTCTAAAAGAGAATATCGCGAGCATTACCTTACATTGAGTATTGGAATAAAAGTGCAGTAATGGTGGAAGCGTTAATTTGATCTATAAAGGAGACGAAAGCTTCTAACATTTGAGGCGCCGTTCTTGATAAATTCAACTGATAGTTTGTGAATAAAAATTTAAATTTTATGTGTTGACGCAGTGGACAAAGACTGAAGCATTATTTCAATAAATTGTTAACTAGCTGTGATTGGCGAACCCTGCGGTCACAACTTTGGCCCGTGGGTTGACTTTTGCGCACATTACTTCCAATTCTCTTGATGCGTGATGTTATCATTGTTATATTTCCGAGTTATTCGAGTAGAAATTCGTTTAAGTGAATTTTAATTTAACATTAATCTAACTAATATGCTAAAATACATATTTGTAATTATATTTCATATAGTTTCAACTGTTCTAAAAAGGTAAGGTATTAAAAATAGATTTTCTTCTAACATAACTAATTCTGATTATATGTAATGAAATAATTAAAAGAAAATAATACGAATTAAATACTTCAATCAGAAGTCAACGAAAGTAAGTAATGTATACTAGTGAGATTCAAGTGAAGAAAGAATATCGAGTCCTTGGTCATGTTGCCGACATTTAAGTATCCTGCGCTGAAATGGAATTAAATGTATATTTTTGTTTTTAGTCACTTGGATAAAGTTATTATAGAATAATTTCATTGTAATATTAGTATGAATCTATTTAATGGTAAAAAATTATAATTTAGTAGCATTTGCCATCCACGCACGTGTTACGTTGAAGATTTACGTTTGTATGAATTTCTTAAAATAACAAGTACGTGCGCTTGGCTTGGTGGATGAATATTTATCTCTGTTGTCTCTAAAATTGTATTTTTTGGTTTTCCTTTTGTAATAAAATCAAATAGAAAAAAAAACTTTTCGTTGTAAAATTGAAAATCAGCTATATTTTATAATCAAAAATAAATAAATAAATTAACTAAATAATTATAAAATTAAAATCATTAAAATAATAGTGAATATGAACGCAAAAAAGGTCAGCTTTATCCCTTAGAACGGCCCACTGCCTGCAACATTGTATGAGAAGCCATTCTTTGAAATACGCGTACCTATTTGGAATCTAACTGCATATTCGAAAATACTTACAATAAGTGGCAAATTAAGAACAGTTTTTTTGATTTTATTAAAATTTATTAATTACTTAAAGTGGTTAGATATTTTGTCTATCGAGCTACTACTAAATTTTAGATATTGTATGGGCAATATTCTAAACGTATTTGCCACAACTCAGTCATTTATAGCCGGTATTTCTCATCTAAGTCTTTTTTAAATAAATAATAATAAATAATTTATAATAAATAATAAATTTTGCGATCCATCCAATAAAAGCTTGATATCAGTTAAAATGTTAGTCCGTCTGCCTATCTTAAAAAACCACAAAAGAGTTATTCTGATAGGTTTATAGATTATTTAGATGTTAGCTAAATTTTTTTTCTCATTTACATAGTTTCCCTTATTATTTACACTAAAATTGCATTGTGATGGAAACAGTTATCTATTAGATGGAAGTCAAATTCTAGTCACAATTTTTTACTCAGGAAACTGATGACACTTAATATATGCAGACACAATATGTTTAATCAGTCCTTAATTCATAGTTTCAGTGCATTCTACATAAAAATGCGTAGTAGTTTTTGCGAAACTTTTAAAATAGAAGAGCTGCCGGATAATGCATCCGGTACTGAAGCTAATATCAACGTTCACTCGAACCAAAGGTGAGTCATTATATTTTATAGAATAATTTTTTAACATGTAAGTAACAACTTTTAATGTAGCTTCGAATATAAGTAGTTTGTTTTATTTTCGTATAGATCTGTTTTGTTTCTCAGAAGCTTACTTGGATACAGCGAGACTGTTCAGGAAACAGAAGTATCAATGATGAAAATGGAGACGGAGTGTAATTTTATACGTTTACACGAATTAAAAAAATGCATAATCTTATTATATTTTATCAACGTTTGTAATATCTATTTTACATCATGTGGTCACCGAAAGACGGACTACAAATGAATTAAAAATTATTAAGCGTAATTAAAGTACTTCTGACATTTAATATATTTTACAACTTTACCTTTATAATGAGATGTTTTATGGACATAGTGCGCACTTTCAAAATATTTTAATTACGTAGATAGAACTGATTCAACTCGTGAAATTGTATGAATGATTTTCGTTCAGTATTGTTCGCCTTTTATATAACGAGTTATCATCTCAATCCCTTACAATTGCTTTAATAAAAATGTTGATGTTAAGCCCGTTGTTGGAAAAACATGGATGCCCAAAGTAACTTTTGTGCAATTATACTAGCCCTTATTGTGATCGTTTTCAATTTAAAAAAGTATTTTAGAATCGTTATATGCGTACGTACGTACGGGTGGGGTAAAGGCAGTAAACAGGTCAGTATGCTTAGTGCGAGTTTTTCAACTTTCTCGATAGCGTAAAAGTTAATCCAGTTTTGTATGCAGTTGCGACAGCGCCCCTAGCGGCAAACGTAAGCAAACGATCCCATTCCATACAAATATGAGCTAACTTTTACGCTATCGAGAACGTTAGAAAACTCGCACTAAGAACACAGAAAACAAAGAGTTTTACAACGCTTTCTCACGAGTAATGTATTGCCAAAATAGGTAGGTGGCTAAGTCGGTCTTGCCAGCCTCTGCTCCAAAGCAAAATTGATCTGGCGTTAGAGAACAGTACAATAATATTTTTTCTAACATGTAAACAGTTAAACTTCGATCTCATATCACATGATGGTCGATGGATTTCACGTTACGTCTACTATACTAGTTCGTGGGCGAAACATATCCATGTAGTAGCAGTAGTAAATGGGCAAACAAGCTGATGTTTCACCGCATATTTAGTACTTTTCTTTGTTACCATTAGTAACCTTAGTACGTTATCTTACATAATTGCTGGTAGCTTCGAAGGGTTATGCCAGCTTCACCGGTTTGGTCGGTGAGCTAGGTCTTGCTAACACTATCCCTAGCAAGAGGGTTGCATCATTGAATCTACAACCGAATCGCAAACACGACCCACTGTGAAGATCCGACGAGAATACAGCTAGATATCACAACTCGAATGCCAACACCTACTTTGAGAGATCCAGTCCAAGTGTTTGCTTTTCCATAGCTTGGTAGACTATTATCTTCTTAATAATACTAACATAACTAAAAAGCTAACCACAAACCGTAGAAACTTTTATAACTGATGGAAATAAGTCCTGTCCATAATAGGTTCGTACCTACGCAAATTATTAATCTGAGAGAAAAGTTTCATTTTGTATATTAGTTGCCAGTTTTAACAACAGTTAGATTAAAGCAGCTTTATCGACGACCGCTGTGATTGTTCCGACAATATCGCAGTGAAACGTAAACACGAAAAAGTAATCCGTGTTCTAATGAAATGAATGGAGAAGAATTAATTTCTTCGTGAAATATTTTATTTATAACACAAGGGCAAACGATTCACTTTTTTCTTTTATACCAATTAATTACTTATCTTCAGATTTTTACGACGGTAAATACTTTTTGTTTTCTTGAATTGGCTACTTTTTATTGTATAATGGTCAGATATTTTTATATAGTCGTAATAAAATATATAAGCAAATAAAACTATAGTGGATTATTATGGGGTTTGCTTAAAGCAATTTCTTCCAGAAAACCCTTAGATTAAACCAATAGCGAAGTAGGTATAATAACCGGCAAACTTCTTGAGCATTTGTTGACGTAGTGGGGGTAAGTTTGCGCATGGTACACTCACGTGCAAAAACATTACTTACTCTGCGTCATAATGCAATTAAATTATTAAAATCAACATATGTATTTATTTATATATTTATTAGAACATCAACAAAACATATAGGTTAATAATTGTAATAATTTAATCTTGGGGTAAAATAGATATTCCTTCTATTAAGTCAAAACTAGAGCTGTTGCCAGGTCTTGGTTCAGTTGAAGCGAAGCTGGTATTTGTAATTTTTTTTTCGTTATCATAATCTTGACCATCATCATCATCACTGTTTTCATCACCCGAGTCGCTATCATCGTGATGAGTCGACATAGGGCTCATCGGCGTAGTTTACAACTCGGTCGATTCGGTCTTCTTTTTTGTCTATAATTAATTATTTTTTGAAGATATTCGATTCGTAGTAATCGAATGTTACTTTTTTCATTTACCAGCTTCCGATTATTTTCTGTTCTTTTTTTCCATCTGAAGCCTAGCTCTTTCATAATTCGTCGTAAGCTTCATTCCGAGCCATTAAAATTTATATCTTCTTTAAATTTTTCGAAGCCTTTCTACGGTACGGAGTTTCGCTGCTTGTTATGTAGTTATTATGATTACATCTTTTTATTACAGATTGAACGAAACTATCCATTCCGGTAACTTTCTTCTTCCCTGATCTTTTCTTACCCGGAGTCCGAAACACGGCGAGCAAGCCAGAGCCTTTAGCTTCGTTAATAATGCACCTAACAGTACTCACTGATGTTTTTGTTGCTTCCGAAGTCTGTTTTAATTTTTCCATATCATTCTTCCCCTGTTTTATAATGAAGCAATATACGTCGTACACAAATTTTCTACCCTTTCTTTTAAGTACTACACCAGTTTGTCACGGCATAGTGTATGTTTTATAAAAAATCAACAAACACTCAACAAATAGCAATGGCAACAAAGTCCACAAGCAATTATAACAAATAACTTAACGATTAATAACGATAGACTTTCCACTGTACGCAAGCGTACTTTTGGGAGCAAGCGGAATGAGGGCGCGGTGCGGGACGCAAGGTTCGACTGATCTACCAATAACGCGCTCGATACGATTTCCCCTGCCGTCGCGCCTCATCCTCACCACCAAAGTGATCTAAAATTCGGTTCTGCGCAGTCAAGGTCATTTGCTCAAGAAGTTTGCCGATTACTATAGGTAAATTGAAGTTACATAACCCTCAGACACAGCCCACTGAGTTTCTCGCCTGATCTTCTCAGTGGGTCGCGTTTCCGATCCGGTGGTAGATTCTGCGAAGCACGGCTCTTGCTAGGGTTCGTGTTAGCAACGTCATCAGGTTTGAGCCCCGTGAGCTCACCTACTAGTTAAGGCGACGCTGATATAGCCTCTCAAGGCTATCAGATTAGGTAGGAACAAAAAAAAAAAAAGTTACAATTTCAAATAGGATTTTCCGAGTGTTACTGTCACTGTGGCTGTATATTCTTTCTGCGTGTAAATAAAATTGATACGATTACCTACGTTGCGTGGTTAATGTAACGGTAATTATAAAGTAGGTATAAAAAGTAATGAGATGTAGTTGACGAGGGAGTATGGTTACAAATTCATAGCTAGATTATTTCCTTCTGCTCAGTAATTTTAAGGTATTAGTTTTTTTATTTACTTTAGGTACGTTATTTTAGTGAGAGTTCTAGCGGTTTTCATAGAATCTAGCAAGCAACATTTTCAAGATAAGCTTCCGTACAAATAATATTTGAGATTCGTTTACCTTTTGCCGTAGAATCTAGGTAAAAGGCCAGCGGTTAAAACTAGATAAAAGACCTCGCGCAAAAACTAGACATAAGGTTTGCTTTAAATCTAGTTATTAGGACAAAATAGCGTTGTGTGATATTTACATCAAACAATGCTAATAAAGGTAATGATTTCTTTGATTACAGTAATTTGCCGGTTGAAACAGTCCGATCACGCTTTCAGAGAGTTCTTGGAAAAGTACGTAGTTTTAATATCATAATAATAATATATAATTAGTGCTTAAGTTTGATCACCAACTTGATTTAGTGGCTAGTGAAAACGGATCTTGCCTATTGGCAGCTTATTACTTGTTAATTTTACAATAGATAATACAAACTAATTTCAAGTTGCTTGAGGAATATAGTTGGTTGAGAAAGGACTGTTTTAATTTTGTCAATAAATGTAGGTATTCTGAATGAATGTGTGAAATCATTTAGCTTTCAATAAAGATTATTGTTATTGTATTATACTTACGGTGTTAGAGTATTTCCTATATCATGTTCTGTATGCCATATGTATATTCTATAACGCCAAAAATAAACGATTTTAACAAACCATTTTAATATCCAACTTGAATCATTTAATCAAAAGAAGAATGAATGTTCATTATGTAGTTGGGTGTTTTTCAAAAAAAATGACTAGCAAAATCGGACTGTCCCACAACTTCAAACACTTTTATTTTTGTTTTTTTATATGGCACATGTAGATGTAAAATGTTATATGATTAAGGCAGACATTTTAAAATCAAGTTAAATTGAAAAACACCATTAAAAGACGATAGATATATTTATATTTAAAAAAAAAAGCACCACAGGAGGTGATGACTTCCTGTGTCCCACGGTGCTCTCGGAGATTTCGAATACTTCGTACTTGTAGACTATTGAGCTTTGAGTATGTTTAGGTGTTCGAACATAATGTCTTTATATCTAAAAGTGTTTTTTCGGTCTTTATGTGATTAATGTATGGTTATTTTTAAGAAATATCATTAAATTAATGTTGTCCTACGAAAACTATAGTACCGAAAAATCCGGTATCGTCACGGCGAATTTGATATCTTACATAAGACAAAATCTACTAATTTGTGTTTTTTCTACTTTCCTAACAACGTTGTGATCGTATTTTGATATAATAACCGGCAAACTTCTTGAGCATTTGTTGACGTAGTGGGGGTAAGTTTGCGCATGGTACACTCACGTGCAAAAACATTACTTACTCTGCGTCATAATGCAATTAAATTATTAAAATCAACATATGTATTTATTTATATATTTATTAGAACATCAACAAAACATATAGGTTAATAATTGTAATAATTTAATCTTGGGGTAAAATAGATATTCCTTCTATTAAGTCAAAACTAGAGCTGTTGCCAGGTCTTGGTTCAGTTGAAGCGAAGCTGGTATTTGTAATTTTTTTTTCGTTATCATAATCTTGACCATCATCATCATCACTGTTTTCATCACCCGAGTCGCTATCATCGTGATGAGTCGACATAGGGCTCATCGGCGTAGTTTACAACTCGGTCGATTCGGTCTTCTTTTTTGTCTATAATTAATTATTTTTTGAAGATATTCGATTCGTAGTAATCGAATGTTACTTTTTTCATTTACCAGCTTCCGATTATTTTCTGTTCTTTTTTTCCATCTGAAGCCTAGCTCTTTCATAATTCGTCGTAAGCTTCATTCCGAGCCATTAAAATTTATATCTTCTTTAAATTTTTCGAAGCCTTTCTACGGTACGGAGTTTCGCTGCTTGTTATGTAGTTATTATGATTACATCTTTTTATTACAGATTGAACGAAACTATCCATTCCGGTAACTTTCTTCTTCCCTGATCTTTTCTTACCCGGAGTCCGAAACACGGCGAGCAAGCCAGAGCCTTTAGCTTCGTTAATAATGCACCTAACAGTACTCACTGATGTTTTTGTTGCTTCCGAAGTCTGTTTTAATTTTTCCATATCATTCTTCCCCTGTTTTATAATGAAGCAATATACGTCGTACACAAATTTTCTACCCTTTCTTTTAAGTACTACACCAGTTTGTCACGGCATAGTGTATGTTTTATAAAAAATCAACAAACACTCAACAAATAGCAATGGCAACAAAGTCCACAAGCAATTATAACAAATAACTTAACGATTAATAACGATAGACTTTCCACTGTACGCAAGCGTACTTTTGGGAGCAAGCGGAATGAGGGCGCGGTGCGGGACGCAAGGTTCGACTGATCTACCAATAACGCGCTCGATACGATTTCCCCTGCCGTCGCGCCTCATCCTCACCACCAAAGTGATCTAAAATTCGGTTCTGCGCAGTCAAGGTCATTTGCTCAAGAAGTTTGCCGATTACTATACCGGCATTACTGTTTAAACTTTATTTGCGACAAAATCTGTGACGAAAGTGTTGTTGTCTTCGGCGTGCAGAAAAAGTTTTCTAGATAGTGACAGTATTTAAAGGTAAATAAACCAATTTTCTTTACTTTGGCATATTGTGTTTAAAATATAAACTAACCTATATTAGATTAATAAAACTAAAAACAAGTTAATTTAACAGAGTATTAGTTATTTTTAATTTTAAAAGTTTTGTCGTATGAATACGTCACCTCCTGAGCGTCATGTGACATACTACCGGAATAAAATCGTGACGAACTTGAATTATAAAGCTTAGTGTACAACGAAATATTTAATCCTGTAATTGATACTTCTCTACGTGTTACCTAATTTGTTAAGAGGTAAAATTTGTATTGTTTGTTTGTACGCACGTAATAGCCGTGACGACTCATTGGATTTGAATCTAAATTGACTGAAAAAATTGCTATAGATATATTATCCAATTTTACTACAAACAATGGTACTTTTCTTGTTTCAGATATAAGTTCGCATTTAACATACCTACTCGTATGTATGATCGCTCTGCTAGCCGATATGGTAGTATATTGGGACGTTGACAAAATTCTAACATGTTTTGATTTAAATCAATGTTACATTAATAATGCCAGGCGGCCCTGGCCTGTTACACATTTCATAATCACTGAGAAGTATTTCGGATGTCAGCGAAAAATCAACAAGAGTATAAAACTGCAGCATTTTACTCTTGCGATGAGTTAAAGCGATATTAGAAAATTACTGCAGTGCTCCATTTTTTGGTGCTCTTTTTGTATGCATTCTATTTATGATCATTTTCCCGAAGACGAGCGCGAGGTTTGGAAGGAAATCATCATCATCATCATCATCATCTCTGCCTGTCCACTGTCCACTGCTGAACATAGGCCTCTTCAACTGATGTCCAGTGCGGCCGGTCCGTTGGCATCTGCATCCAACGTGCCGTGGGAGGAAATAATTAATAGTTATTGGAGAAAGTATTATTTCGTTCGGTAGAGAATGGCGCTTAGCGCAGCAGAAAGAGCCAAGCGATATCGCGAAAAATTAAAGCAAAATTCTGAAAAATAATCCTGTAGGTAGGTGTAAGTAAAAATATAAAATAATCACCAACGACTCCTAAGTCTTTGAATACTTTTATGTGTATAAAAAAAGGTTTAATGAATCTTAATTTTACGCTCTTTGTGACTGTGTTTTAAATTGGCAGTGTGGATACTGCTTAAATTATTCCTATTCGTCACGCAATTTTCATAATAGTCACTGTGCTATATTCTAAATTGTACAAAACTAGTTTTAAAAGTATCTAGATTTCTTTAGAGTATTAAGTTTTGAAACTATTAGAATTTTGTTATTGCCGAAAATTCCTCACTTTGCTTGATTTATGAATTTGTAACACGTATCATTAGTAAACAACAACTTTTCTAGGGCGATGTGTCTAAGAAGTGACGAAAATGAAACTATTTGGCTGATTATTTATAATTGCGATAGAATTATGCTAAATTTTTGGAAACATTTTTAGCATATCCTTATGCTAATATAAGTTGATTTTGTTTCAATACCTGGTTGTTTTATTTCTGACTGAATAAATTAAGTGACGTACAGGAACACTTTCCGTCAACATATGACCGAAAAACTTGAATATTTCTCTTATTTATGATTAAAATTTTAATTTAAATAGCATATTTAGCTAGTTAATTACATATAATTTGATACCAAAGTAAATTTAAGCAATTTCATTTAATCCCAAAATTATATTTCCTGATCGTCACGTGGGTTAATTTTTCTGAAAATCACCCAGTTGCAGTTTTTTCTTAAAACTCCCATTCATAATGAACGCCATCTAAATATTGGATAGGTGAGGAGTGTTCCGATTTTTTAATAGTTATCGTTATCTGAACAATAGATGCCGTTAGTCTCTGTTCAGTGGGTACTTAGGTTCTCATTTTTAATGGATTATAATCTGTATAATCCATTGTCATTAAAAACCTGTATGGGTTTTAGTGTGAATTGCTGTTTTAAGATTGCAAAATGTAGTTTGTTATATATGCATAGAAATCGGAGGGAGCATGTGACCGTAAACTAAATGCGCTGTCGTCATATGCGCGGACAGCTCGTTTGTCGATCGGTACGGCTGCTGCTGGGATCGGAAATTTATTCTCGCGCAAAATGGCAGCCAGTACAAACACAAACACGATTCCTTGGTCAAATACCGAAGATGACTATGAAATAGGGGATGTAATCGGTATGTGGAATATTGTTACAAATATTTGTAAATAAATTTCTCTCTACATATCCACAATGTTCATAGAAATTTTATTTCATGATGTCCATGTTTCTGATGATAGACAAAATTCTTGAAAATTATTTGTAATTTCACCCAAATGATTGTTATAAACAAGTTTGATAGGCATAAATATTAATACTAAAAGTTAATATAAAGTAAGTACATATGTACAGAGAATATAAATTTATTCATAATAATGGAACAACAACATTGAACTTCATAAATAAAATTGATCTAAGAATACATGAAATATATCACTTTGTTAATAATTTATCAAACAACGTGACCAATATCTACCATTATATAGAATTTATTATAATTTGGTTATGAGTTATTGATTATTTGACAGTAATGGAGGCTAGTTTATATTTATAGTTAAAGTTTTCATTCAAAAATTGAATTAATTGCTAATCATGAATAAATGAAGGAGAGAATAAATCAGTAGCTAGAGAACTATGTCTTTTGTATTGAAATATAAGTAGACAGATAACATATGATGGTAAAAATCCATAAAAAAGGGGCATACTGCAGCTCATAACATTACTCAGATGACTACTGCATGTGTATTATCTAAACTATAAATAAACAAAATTTTATGTGAAATATTTGGTGCTTTTATTATTAATCAGCAAATTCTAGGTGTTGGTGCCACAGCAGTAGTGTACAGTGCATACTGTAAGCCAAGAGGTGAAAAGTGTGCTATAAAAAGAATAAATTTAGAAAAATGGAATACTTCGATGGATGAGTTATTAAAGGAAATACAGGTAAGTGTGTTTTCATTAAGGGATCAATAAAGTTATGAATACAATTATTTATTTTTTATAATTTCATAGTTTGTAGTTGGGTTTTGGCTCTTTAATTTTCAATACTTTTACTATGTTTGGGAATTTTCAAGTAATAATACTTATCATAGTAGTCTTATTAGAGTGAGCTAGTATGTTATGTGTAAAAAAAGGCAAGCCAGTTCTGTGTGTTTTTATTCTTGTAAGAAAGGCTCTCATCAACAGGAGAATATAATGATGATTTTACTAGAAGTTGTCTATGAGAAAATTGAGATTGCAGAAAATTATAATTATGTAGGAATAATGTCGCATGAGGAATTTACGTAATGTTTTATAGACAGTATTAAATCTTATCAAAATTTAAGTTTACATATGGCTTAAATTTTTCAGGCAATGTCAAGTTGTAATCATGAGAATGTCGTTACATATTATACAAGTTTTGTGGTGCATGATGAGCTGTGGTTGATCTTAAAGCTTCTTGAAGGTAAACTCATTATAAATAAAGGTAAAATAAAAAATAAAACAAGTACAACCAAATTGTTTCATATAAAACTCTAAGTTATCTTTAGTAAATAAAGTTTTATGTTTTACAACATACAATCAATTAATGAAAGAAGGTGATGAAATCTATCATCTATATTAGTAGTTTCCAACCTAAATGATATTGTAATTACAGGAGGCAGTCTTTTAGATGTCATCAAACATAAAATAAGAGTAAGCAATTGTGTCAATGGAGTTTTTGATGAAGCTACAATTGCTACTGTTTTAAAGGAAGTGCTAAAAGGTTTGGAATATTTCCATAGCAATGGACAAATCCACAGGTATTGTAAACTGAAATATGCATGTTTTATTTTTTTGTTATTTTATATTTTTATAAGTTACTTTTTTGCTTTCTATGTGTATTATATTGAATGTTATACATCTAAATTTTGCTATTGCGAACATATTATTATGTGAACACATTTTACAAAATATCCATGTGTTTGAAATATTCATAGCGATGTTTGCATAGTAGCGAATTGCTTGAAGTAGATCTTATTGGGTTTATTTAAAGGTAAGGATATATTATACTTTTTGTTTTAGGGATGTCAAAGCTGGTAATATATTACTAGGTGAAGATGGAACTGTGCAGTTGGCAGATTTTGGTGTTTCTGCATGGCTGGCTACTGGTAGAGATATGTCTAGACAAAAAGTTAGACATACTTTTGTTGGTACACCATGCTGGATGGCACCAGAAGTCATGGAACAAGTAAATAATCATTTGTTGCATAATGTCAAAAAAGTGTGCTCATAAATTGGCCTGCAATGACAATTCTCAGTAAAATAATTTTGTTCATCTTGAAATTTGTATTTTAAACAAATTAAATGTAACCATGTTATATTGGGGACAGCTTGTAATAAAATGGTTTAATTATGTAGGCATTATTTAACTACATTCAATTTGAAATGAAATTTCAGTATGATTTAAAAATTGCCTTCACAGGATCATGGCTATGATTTCAAAGCTGACATTTGGTCATTTGGAATAACTGCCATAGAAATGGCTACAGGAACTGCTCCATACCATAAATACCCTCCAATGAAAGTGTTGATGTTGACATTGCAGAATGATCCTCCTAATTTAGATACAGGTACGTGGAGTACTTTATACTTCACTCTGTATTGTCTATACATAAGATTTATATATAATGCGTATTGTCTATACATAAAGTATTAAGTGTTATCAAAAGTGGTCACAGACACTAAATAGTCTACCGATAGTATATTATTGAATAGCAGATGTAGACAACATTTGAACAAGATAATATAAATAACATTGTCTGCAGAGTAAGTTTTTTGACAGGTAAGTAAGATTTGTAGGTAAATTGACAACACAGTCAAACTGCCTACTGTTGTATGAAAAAATGAAAGAAATAAAATTATTTTGAGTATAAGTACTTATTGAGAATAAGGTAGACATGAAAGTGATCAGGTTTTATAATTAAATGTGTAAATAAAAAAAAAATAACATTTCTGAATTTAAGTATGTTTTATTCATACTTATTGTTTTAGGAGCTGAAGAAAAAGATCAATATAAAGCTTATGGGAAAACATTCAGGAAAATGATAGTGGATTGCTTACAAAAGGATCCAACCAAGCGTCCAACTGCTACAGAGTTGTTAAAGCATCCTTTTTTCAAAAAAGCCAAAGATAGAAAATATTTAACTCAAACTTTGGTTGCCATAGGGCCCAGCATGGAAACTAGAGTAACAAAGGTGTGGTGCTCTTTTTAGTTACCGGGAGCTGTAATCATAATAAAATATACCTTTCAGGCTTAATCTTGCATTTATTATTTTAGACATTTGATATATAGACAACTTAGGTGTTATTCGTTGTCATTTCAATAAAGTGCTAACTACCATAAAATTTTCTAAACCTAACATTTTGACATTTATATTTCTTTGCACACAGAATAACCTAAGACTATATTAAAGTTTGGTAAAGTGGCAAAATGTAAATTTTTATTTAGTTTATGGATAATTGGTATTCATATGGTTATAACTTAAACCAATTAGTGGTCAGTTTAATGTTAACAATTTCCATTTAAGCCTAAGTATTCAAATTTTCACATCATATTTAACTTTGCATTATTGTTTCACAACCAGTGGTGTAATTATGATGATAAAACGTTATAGCAAGCTTTTTACTTTTCAACGTGATATTGATGTTACATGATGTGAGTCGACTATTATCAAAGGCGGCAATCTGACTTTTGGACAATGATTGGTAAATCAGAAAAACGAATTATTGACTTTGTATTCCATTGGCAGTCACAAAACTCTTCGGAACGACATCTTAGATAAATAACAGGTTAACTATTAACCTTTATTTAATGCAGGTTTTGAACCGTATTCTTTGAAGGAGACGATTATATTCAAATAAATCTGTATTGACATATCAATAAAAAATTTTTGTCCAAATGTACAGATTGCCGCCTTTGATAATAGACGACTCATGTATAGTAGTGTAAAATAAGAACATATTCCAGGCAAGCAAAAAGCATTCTGCTACGTCAGGTCGTCTTCATCGTACAATGACTGGAGAATGGGTGTGGAGTGAAGAAGAGGAAGGCGGTGTTGATTCCGATGATGATACTCCTACCAAAGATGATCAACTTCCTATGAACAAGATTCAAAAGGCAGAATCTAGTGCCAGTGAAAATGAAGACGTAAGTTTACACCAATAACACTCAGGTTTATTAAGCTGCATGACATTCATGTATTTTAAAAACATTAAGAATACAAAGCTGTCATTAATATTAATACTGATTATTCTTTTTAATAGGAAATTTCAACTGATTCTAAGCAACAGCCAGTTCAGCCGCAACAAACACAGCCTCAAGTAGTCCAGGCGCAACCACTATCGAATATGTCTCAGACCCAATCACTACAGGCATTGCCACAACCACACCAAACACAGCTACCTGCACAAAAATTGCAACTAGATCAACCGCTATCTCAATCTACATCGCAGCAGCCGCAAGCTGCGCAGCCACAGCGTCAAGTCGTTCAGCCGCAGTTATTGTTGGCACAGCCACAATCCCAACCGCAAATTATTGCGTCGCAACCGCGAATGATGCAATCGCAGTCACAAATGGTTCAGCCCCAACCACAGTCGCTACAGTTACAATCACAATTGGTGCAGGCGCAAAATCAATTACAGGCGGCAACCACACAACCGCAATCAGCACAGATGCCACCGCAATTGGCACTACCACATCCTCAATTGGCATTGCCACAATTGCAATCAGCACTGCCACAATTGCAATCGGCTCTGCCACAATTGCAAACAGCTCTGCCACAACTACAATCTGCTCTGCCACAACTGCAATGTGGTGTATCACAGTTGCAATCGGGAATGCTGCAACTGCAGTCAAATTTACCCCAAATGCAATCGGTATTACCCCAATTGCAATCGTCAATACCGCAATTACAACCAGTACTACCGCAAATGCAATCAGCACAGCCGCAACCTCAATCAGCACAGCCACAACCCCAATCACCACAGCCGCAACACCAATCGGCACAGCCGCAACCCCAATCGGCACAGCCGCAACCCCAATCAGTACAGCCGCAACCCCAATCAGTACAACCGCAACCCCAATCAACACAACTGCAACCCCAATCAGCACAACCGCAACTACAATTGGCACAGTCAAACCCGCAATCAACACAGCCAAAACCCCCACCAGTGCAACCAAAACCACAACCAACTCAGTCGCAGTCGCAACCTGAACAACCACCAAAAGCACAACCTGTTATTATGAAGATTGTTCCCACAGTTGTCAATTTGGTCCTAAGATTGAGGTTTGTAACTTTGAATAATTTACTTAGTTATATATACGTAATATTCTTCTTCACTCTGAATCTATGGATTTATCTATATACCTTTACCACAACTCTGGGTGAACAGTTTAAATTTTTTTAATTACCTTTGTAGGAAATATCAGCATATGCCATAGCTGATGGTAAATGGTCACCATAGGTCATGAACATCACTAATGCCGAAGACACAGCCAAACAGCTGCCTACATAGTTTAGCAGCTGTCATTATATAAAAAAAACTGGCATATTTCTTATGTCCATCATGAGTTTTTATGAAAATATTCTGATAAAATGCTTAAATTACATCTTCATACGAAAATTCAATACCTGTTTAAGCTTATATAATATACAAAGCTCTATTTTATTTTCTTCTATTATTTCTTCTTTCTATGTATTTGAAAAATTACAGAGGTCTTGATTCTTAATTGAACTTAACAGGAATTCTCGCGGCGAGTTAAATGACATTCGATTTGAGTACGTCATTGGGAAGGACACTGCTGAAGGGATAGCTTCAGAACTAGTAGGTGCTGGGTTGATTGACCCTAATGATTCAGTGCCTATATCGTCGAATTTGGCAAAACTACTTAATGGCCATGTTGCTGCTATGCAGACCGCTCCTAAAGCTATTACATTCCATTTGGTAAGAAAAGTAAAATTTTAACATTTTTCTTTACAAATTTCAAAGGTCTTTGCATGAATACACTTATGGTGTGTTGGGGTGTTCTATGGGTATCTGATCTCATTGAGGCCTTAGATAATAAAGCAATAATTTCCACTAAAAGTCACATGTACCCATATCAAAACAATATTTCGTTATTTAAGAAAAATAAACATCGATTAATAAATATTAACCATTTTTTCACAGAATTCATCCAGGCCCAATCAAACTTATGACGACAAAGCTTTGATTGGATTTGCACAAATAACAATCGTTGAGTAATGTTGAAGATTGGGTAGCATTGGTGTACTGAATATAATGAACAAAACTAGGACAAGCTTCTATATAAAAACAGAAAACTATTGATAACTAAATTCAAGAATGAAGTTTTTTGAGCAGAAATTGAAACACTTCCATATGAATTTTAGGCAATTGAAGGTCGTATTGTAATTTTTCTATATGTTCGATAGTTTTTAATTTATGAAACCATTTATATTAGATTTCAACGGTTATGAACAAGCTGGGCTTAGTGACTTGCAATATTTTTATATGTTACTTTAAATCGCTGGTTAGTGTTCCATCAAACCAAAGAATCGTAGTCTTAACAGATTCAATATCAAACTTAATTTATAGTGGATAGTGTGCTGTGTATGAAATACAGAATTCTAGTTAGGATAGCTTAAACTAGAACAGCATGCCGGGAATTAAATTAAATTATATGTTTAAAACAGGCTTGAATGAAGCTAGAAAGAAAAGTAATGATCTTGAACTATAGTGCAGGGCTATTAAGAATTTTTATAGTACTGAGTAAAGTGATTGAAAGACTGGTGAAGACTTACAGTACAGGTATATATTAAAAAGGGAATTTGAAAAGAATGAGTTTTCATTATATTTTGGATCTGACTGTCGATTTAGCACAAAATCCAGAAACATAGGCACATAGGTTATTGGTAGTACTATTTGATTTATTTTTGATTAAATTAAATTATTGATTGATTTTTTAATAAGTTCAATTGTTGGATTTATTAATCTATACTGCCTGTTTCAAATTAAATATACTTAAAGGTTTTTTTCTAGGCACACTTTGATGGTTCATATTAAAATTTCTGTGAAATTATTGTACATCCATTCCTCATCTGTAATATTAGTAATAATAATTCTGGGAATTCCATTATCTTGTATTGAAAAACAATGTATATTACTTTTTACACCTTTAAATTATCAGACGCTGTTTAATCATAGAGTGAACAAAAGATAGTACCTGCCTATTTATGCCGTGCAGTAGATTTGCCTTCTGATTTCGGGAACAGTAGACCAGCCGTTATACAATAAAATGAGTTCATATCTGAAGGTGTGAGGCGTCATTTACGTTGTAATATCTATAGATTGCTGTTCCCCCTAACATCTGGCGATTCATTTTAGGCAACGGTCAATGGAATTTAACAAATAGGTAGGTACTACTACTAATATTAAATGTACTTTTGTTAATAAATCCTTAATTTTTTAGATTAATTGAATTCAAATCCTCAAATTTAATGCACTTTTTTAAGGCGAGTAATAAGTGCAAAACTTGTTTCGTATGTACAAATTTAATAATTATTTTAGTGCATCTTCTTTGAAATAGGTACAGATTCTTTCTCTGAAAGGTTAAATATGAAAGAAAAAGGCTAATTACTAAGTTAAGCACTTGGTCTTAGAAAAAGTATGTTCATGAAGGCGTAATCTAATGCGAAGGAATCTGCATGATCCCCCATTGCACGAGGTCGTCGACCTCGGGCGTCAGCTGATCTGATTATTTCAAATCTGGAATTATCAGCATTACTAATTACTATCTCTGTTTCTGGGGATTGTTCCCCTTGGACATTGTGTAACTTTTAATCCCCTTTCCTTTTAAATTAAATTCATAAACTATGAAAGGTACGTGAATTTACGGTTTTGATGTATTTTAGTGTAAAGACAACTGAAATAAATAGATCAGTTATGATGATAATGATTTAACATCAATATATATTTCCTCGGAAATGTGCTTTATCTTATGTCGCAACATTTATACTATAATATATTATACATTGATAAATTTCCCTAAACTCGTACGAGATTTAAGGTTTGTATAGTTTAATTACAGTTTTCGCTTCAGATTTGTGGTGTTTTTTGTTAATTTCGCGATGAAGAAATATTCTTAATCTCTATATTAAAGGGTTCGATCCCTTTAACAGTATTAAATGTTAATTTATAAAAAAAAAATAACTCTTTTTGTGACTTTTAGTCACCTTATAATGTAATCTCATCTTAACACTAGTTTGGAATGTAATTCATTACTTAATGTAAGGTTATCAATAAAATTATGATAGTAATTTGATGTTTATGAGAATCTCCATATTGCATTTTGCAAAAGATTTTAAATCTTATATCTTGATTATTATAGTAGTAGTAAGTTATTTTAGTTTCGTAAAAAAATAAAACTCTACTATTTAAATGTACTTAAATGTGACGTTAAGCAGTTTTACGTTGATCCAAGGTAAATGTGTAAGATACCAAATGGTATGCAAATTAAGTTTTTTTTTTTTTTATATGTAACGAATGGCCATTGACCATTTTTATTTCGTTGCAGTATTTTCCGTCTGCGTAACTCATAATCAGTATTGAGAACAAATGTAATTGTGTCGCGCTCACTCACTGTCACGCATTCATTTAGCGAATGCCTCGGTTACGTATAAATTTAGCACGTGTTTAACAACAAGCTCTAGTGACTTTATTCGTTATTATTGGAATTGTCCGAGACTATTGGATCAATATAAATCAGCTCCTACTATTATTATATTACTACATACTACTATTATTACCTATTATATTGTGTATACTTTAGAGATAAATAGAATATATTTTATTGAAAATTTAATCTAATAAGGATTGTTGTCTAGCATGCTTATAAAGTTTAACTTTACTAAAATAATTTTATTTTGCTCTGAATTAACTAGTTTAGACAACGAGGCCGCAGATAATTTTTTGGACCGCACTCAAAGCTAATTTGACGAAAAAAATCTTTTAGACTTTTTGCAGTATAGTTTTTTTGTATTGATAAAAAAAAACTGTTTTCAATTCATACAAGAAAATACGTTTGATCATGTTACTTTATCGGTAATTGTCCTCTGAGTATCATTGTCTACGTAATTAAAACAAATAAATGACCTCTAGAGATAATCTGATTAAATTAGAAATACCACATTAATTACTTTGGTAGTGTCCTTCATCTTTCGTATATATTTTGCGGTTAACAAAGATACTTCAAAAATAATTCAATAATAAACAAAACTAAAATGAAATGCGGATGATAAATGAACCTACCATTAGTATTGATTTTATTTATAAGTACAGTATTTTGACAATAAGAATTCTAAACATATCTTGTAAGATATCGTTATTTTGAAAGCATATCCAAAAATTGCGTATTTTTGTAGCTATTGATCGATTTAATTTATAAATGTGTGATTAATTTGAAACATTCGATCAATTAATGTTGGACTGAAAATGTATTTCGATCTATTGCAAACCAACTAATTTTTGTAGGCAATTAAATTAACCTGGCTGAAGTTGAACTTTTGAAATAAAATTAACTACTATTTTAACATAAATAGCTAATAAGTTGGCATTCGACCGCGATGTAATGCAAATTTTACTAGACGAACCACGTGACGCGTATCAGCTGATTTTCAACTGTTTAAAATTGGGTGCAATGAAAAAGAAAATAGTATTATAATTTTTTTAAATTAATTTATTAGTCGTATGATATTTAATAATACATCGTGTATAAGACATTAATTCATAACATAAACGAAAAATAATACTGATTTGCTAAGCTAAACCAAAAGTAAGGTAATGTAATTGTTAACATTATCAAATTTCGTGAAATCGCATTTTGGAAAGCAAAGGTGCTTCATATTTCACACGACATTGTTAACACCGCGCTTTTCTTCATTTTTCGATTTACAGGTGACCGCCAGCTATCCATATTTTGTTTAGATTAGTTAGTCGTCGTTCATTGGTGGAAATACGAACATAATCATTGACAGCTCAAGATTCCAAATAATTTTATGTTTATATTTTCGCTTGCATTCTGTTATAGATTTTATACCTAATGCAATGTCGGGAAACATCTGAAATATTCTTTTTACTTATAGTTGATATTATACTGACAAAATAAAAGAGCTATTGAAAAACAGAGCAGAAAATGATACTTAATTATAGCGCCGTGTCTTTTTTTAACCGACTATTTCCAGTTTTTATTTATTGATAACACTAAAGGTCGTCAATAGCTAGTAAACAAAACAGAAAAAAATCGAATCTGTTCGAAAACAGGAGAAAATAGTATTTATATTTAACTGTTTTCGTTTCACCTTTTTTATATTCACCTTATTTATATAGATTATAAATTTGCGTTTATGCTATCCGTAGCTTTCCTATCGCGCGATGCGAATTGCGTCAGCTTCGATAGAATATGAACAGCGACGATACGTTTAGCAATTAAGTAATCTGCCTGAATTTAAGTTATTTTAAATTTATATCAAACTTCCTTTTTTTTTCAACAACATACGCAATTAAAATCTCTACAAATTAAAAACGTTCCAATTATTATAATTTGTGATTTTATGAAATACGAAGGAAGTACAAGTATTCAATAATTACTAGAATATTCGTGTCAAATGTCAATATGTGGTTTGTTATTAAAAAAACTTATCGCACGTAAATGCGCGTTCGCAAAATTTATCCGCATATCGCGGGTGACCTTGCCAATAATAATATTCTTTAATTAATGAAATAATATGACCAAAAAACAAAACGTTAATCGATGATATATTTTTCGACAAACATAGTATGATGTGTATTTTACTATTTTATAAACTATCACAAACTTAAAGTTACTTTCTTAGTAAATTCGTTTACTCAAAATATATTTTAACTGGAAAAGACAAAACATTAAAGTATCAGTTTTTCATGTGCTCTCAACCCATCAATATTTTTGGCTGTTAAGTGTAATAATGATTGAAAATATTTAGTTTAAAGGTTTCCTTTCGGAAAAGTTATTTTCTTCAAAAAGACTAAATATAAAAGAAGAGAATAAATCACATAAAATAAATTTAAATCTTAAGCTGTAATTATGGTCGAGTTTCTATCATTGAGCTTACAGTACCTGCCCATAAGTGTGTTAAATACTCTTTAATGTTTGATAAGTTTGTTAAAGTCAACGTTTAGTTTAATAACTTTTCGCATTAAATAAAAAAAAAAAGCAACGAACCTTTCGAACAACTCACGTAGAGAAATTATAGAAAGGATTCAACCACTACTAGAACTTATAATAATTATCTGCGGATCTTATCTGTTCGTACTGCAAGCATTTATTAGATTAAGACTTTCGATTAAGTGAGCACGCGAACCAATGGTTTGAAGACATCTTTCGATCACGTGATATCCGAAGTACGCAAACTCAACGAATAAATAATAATAGACTTTTAAAAAAATACGAGATTTCTTCGTTGACGATAAAAATCTATTTGAATCTGTTGCTCGGGTTCTCTTTTTTTTTTTATACATGACTAGATAACATACTCCTTGGTGCGGACGATGTCGCGTAACTGATTGAGCTAAAACCGAGTTGCCACGTTGTATAAAACGCGATTTTTTTTAAATCGCACGTCTATCGGTAACTAGTTAACTAGAACCAAAGAACTTTAATTATGCTGCATTTGCATCTTCCTTAATATAAATCTCATATTATTAGATAAGATTATACATATAAGAACAAGTACATCTCTGTTGATCATTCAACATGTATAATACGGTTACCTGTTGCGTTAGAAATAAGATCTGATTTATTTTTTATTTTTACCACAATAATATTATCATTAGTACTAATAGAAACATGTGAAGTTCATTTTAGAACTGAATTATCTAATAATACTATCTTCATACATATGTTTTGTAGAGCCATATTAGTAGTACCCAAAGTACCTGTATTTAGATTTAAATATAAGATATTTTTTAATATCTATCGATGGTCGTAGGTGTTAGCTTAGTTATCTTAGTCTTCGAATATGTATTCTCAAACTTATATGGAAATAAGTAATCCTATTTTTGTGTGTTATAATCTAAATAAAACGAAGTAAATGTTTATTAAATTTATGGAAATACCTCATTTTTTTTCATTTTAATTGAATGTTATAATATCTAGAGGAACAATCAAATTACAACCAAATAGATGTGAAATATTTCGTAACCGTCGTAGCTTAAAAGATAGGGCGCCAGATGTACTCCAACTGTGCGATGCAACTATGAGGGTGTCCAAATCTCGCAGACAGTTACTATTTTTCTAATGAAATTGGTACTTAACACATGTTCAGGATATTTTTAATTTTTTTTTTGCGTAGGTGGACCAGCTACTTCCTACCCGGTGTTAAGTGGTTACCAGAGCCCATAGACATCTACAATGTAAATGTCGCCACCCACCTTGAGATACAAGTTCTAAAGTCTCAGTATAGTTACAACGGTTGCCCGCCCTTCAAACCGAATCGCATTACTGTTTCACGGCAGAAATTGGCAGGGTGGTCGTACCTACCCGTGCGGACTCTCAAGAGGTCCTACCACCAGTAATTACGCAAATTATAATTTTGCGGGTTTGGTATTTATTACGTAGTATACGTAGTACGTATTTCATTAGAAAAATTGTTTATTATTTCCAGTAAATAAATAGTAGATGAGGGAAAAAGAGAGTGTAATGAATAAATCATACCCGCAAATTAGAGTCGGCAATTAGTGGTGGCAAGGGCGTCTAGCGAAGTTGAAACTTATTTCTTTTTGAAGAGTACGAGAGCTGTTAAAGTACCGTCATCTATTTTATATGTCCATGGACTCCGGTAACCACTTAATGCAAGTGATTTGTGAGCTCATTCACATGTTTACACTACACGATAAACAAAAAACTGACCCAATTTATTTTCTCATCATAACACGGAAAGATCTGTTTGGAGCGCAATGTTTGAAAATAAAACGTTAATCTATACTAGCCCTGACCTAATTTTAACACATAAAACTTGCAGTTAAAAATATTCACATCGTTGCAATGCTTAGGATCTGGAACGTATTTTGTCTCGGTGAATTTTAATTAAATATTTAGTAATTGAAATTAATGCTCTAAGATTCGTTTAAAACATTTCCGTACTCTAGTTTTTAAAATCACTCCGATGTGGGAGAGTACACCGCAGCAATAATAATAACTACCACCATTGCTATGTTTGTTTATAGTGTATTACCTAGCAATTCTTCTAATTTTTTTGTGGATTATATAAATTATTATTGGAAGTCAACTGCACTTCTCCAGTTTTCTGCAGAGATATGATATGGCTTTCTAAAACGACATTTTAAGTCTTATAATATAGGTATATAGGTAGACGTTAGGTTTGCCCTTGGCAATGCCGATGACCAACAATATCATGTGACTCGTAAACTAGTTTGCCTCCAAACACAATAAAAAAGAATTTCATGATTATGTTCCCTATATCAGTGGTTATCATAGTGTAGAAGAAATCCGGTTCGCGCTAGCAACATTAGCAACGTATTTACATACGAGTATGATGTTCAAGTTTTTAGAATAACATTTAGTAGCTTTGAGGATTTTTCGAGATTATCTCTATATTCCTTTATATAGAATCGCTGCATTCATCCATACTGCGTTTCCTGAGATACTTTTTGCTATATGCCATCGGGCTCTAGAATGAGCTCTCCCCTTGTGTATGTATTTTCAGAGCGCTATGACATATGACAAATAAGGTTTGCAAGATTGCGAGTTTCAAATGGGAGCTCTCAGCCGTAGGCCACGGCGTCGCTGTGCTCCTTCATTGCTGACGTCCATGAGCGAAGGTGGTGGACCGTATGATAATTTGCTAGGGTCTGCTAGGGTGGTTAACAAACCTGCCCCCCAAGCCCTCAATCCCGCCCATTCGTTCCGATAAAACTATAAAGACTATCGGTCGGTAGCAATACCACTCGCTCGGTGGAAGATTTTTCCTTTGTAATTTCTGTCAAACTAAGAAGAGATTATCCACAGGACGATACATAATTTTAATACGGCTAAATGACTTCACTTGTCGCAAAGATAGATGAATATTGAAAATTATTTTAGGCTATTTTGTAAAATTATTATTTCTGAACCTAGGTTCCTTCAGTTATTTTTGTACCAAGTCTCTGTAGTTCTAGTACCTATATCGTCCAATAATTATCATTTTATACTCACACTAAGTTAGACTAATTCTCGTTCAACAAAATGTTTTACTAAAGATTCAGTTGTCAGAAGAAACAATTTTTCCACGACTTGATACAGTTTCCTTTTCAGGAATTATTTACTCTTATTTGAATTACAACTCCATAATAATCATGACTTTATATCTTACAATTATTGAAAAATTAATCTGAAGTCAATTTAGGTATTCCTAAAAGTGTGACTTCAGGGTATGTCATCGAAGCTGTTCTGGGTAAGTGAGAATCGGCTATTAAAAGGTTAAAACTACATTTTCATCGTAAATAATTTAACACGTTAAAAAGAGTTCCGAGAAAGATTACAATACGTCCCAAAATACATTAAATATAGTCACATGAGCGGGGAGGCCCACAGGTCATACTAGTAGCCGACAAACAAATCATATCAAGGTCAAGAACGTATTTAATTCTGACACAATAATCATTTGTGTTGGTAATAACAATATCTTTGCAAATTTGCGAATTTAAGAGAGATTTTTATATTCTGAAATCCTTGCATAAATAGTTCTTATACATTGTTATAGTTTTATTATGTGGTTATATACCTAATGGCTATCCAATGCTTCAATTTGAAACACTTGATTACTTCCAACAAAAATATGTACCTATTTTTCCAGAAAACTTTAACTGGGTGTTCATCAGAGAGTGTATATTTAAATCAATGGTGTTCATTCTGAAAAGTTACTACAATAAATAGGTACATTGATTGTCTGAGGCATAGTGAACCATGATTCAATAACTATACCTGTGGAAAATTATGCAGTCAATCCGTATATTATGACAAACGCAAGTAGTTCGAATTACAATAAATGTAGTAGAAAATAATGTTGACGCGTTCGCAACGTTGTTTATCGTTCGCGACTATAAAAACGATCGTCATGTCTTGCAACGTGCGTATACTTCGTAAGCCACTACAACCGAACGCAGGGAGCGGTACCAACACCTAAAAAATTAAAAATGAAACTAATACAATGTGTTTTTGTCATTGTTTTGCTAATGGCAGTAACGGTGTGCAGCAGTCCTTTGCTAACACAAACACCATTCAGTGGTAAGTTAGTTTTAACGTTGTTAAGATTTTTAATGAAACGCAATAGCTCGTTTGATAGCTTTAAACAATTTTGTGACAATCATGCTTAAAAGCTGGCGATTCTATTTGTTCGATGAGGGAAGCTAGAAGCTTAGAAATTTCGTGAACCGCAATCTGCTTTAGTGAATGACTGATAACAACATCGTTAACTAGCTCAAAGAACAATAGAAGACGTTTTTAGAATTAGCAAAAATTTCAAATGTGCTTAATGTTATCAGTTTTGGATATCGAAATATGAATACCATAACGTATGTACATAAATTGTAATTATAGATTAAAAATTATTAAATTTTAATAGCGTGATAGACTTGTGTAGGTAATACTAGAAATGTTTTGAGGCAATGCCTAACGCATTTTTTTTAATGAAAGGATACATGACGTATCTAAAAAGTTTAATTTTGCTTATTGATTTAATTTAATTGGTTTGGAAAACAACAAAAAATCAAGTTTTTGATACAATTTGCAATTATACCTGATACATTATACCTATATTATATTTTTTACATTGTTCAGAAATGTGGTATTATTAATGTTTTAATTTCATTAAAATGAATAAGAAAAATCATAAATATACGGTTTTATGACAGTGTATGATTGGTTTCCTAGTGGGAGCCAGCACAGCCAAATCGGTCGGCCACCATATGTTTTTAATTTTGGTAGTCCAATTCATGATATCTAATTTTTGCTTAGGATGGGCGGATTGAATCAATAAAATTATTTATTAACGTGCATATGTACCTTGATCCTGTATTGATCATTGATAGGTATAATCGCGGTGCGCACTGGTTTTTATCGGGTGGGCAGTAATGTACGTATTTAATTTTTATTTCATATCATGTCGAGATGGAAATTTCGATTTTTGAGCATTATTTTCAGATAGAAAAGTGCCATTCACGGCCCTGGTTAAATATTATAATATAATAAATTACACATTCTTTTATTTTCTTGGCGCATGCTTACTTGTTCTTGTTAACACATAAGTTCGCAAACGATTTATTTGCAATGTAGTGTTATTTTTTTGCATATTTTTATTGGTTCATATTATCATTTGCAATTGATTGCATTCTCCTTGTTCTATATGAGTAAGGGAAGGCTTCAATCCACCACAAGCTCTTCGCCTCAATTTCCACGTCTCTGGTTCTCTTGTAACACTTTATCTAATTCTTAGAGGTAAATAAATTTAATAAATAACAAAGGTTAAGTTAAGTTAACTTTTGATTCCTCCCTGAAAACAATATTTACTCATCACGGCAGGAAAAAATGCAAGCCCGACCGACACGTGTTTTTGAAAGACATACTTTTTTCCAGCGTGAGTTAAATAGATAGGTACTATTTGGTGCAGTTAACCAAACTTAAAATCAGTGACGTGGCAATGATTTTAGAAGAATCGGGTTTACCGTAAATAGTTGTCCAATTGTTATATTATTAGTTCATGTTCATTTTAACGTAATTTAGTTAATTCAATTAAATTAGTTTTAATTCGCTTCTTAATTTATTCAATCGAAACTATTAATGATAATAAAAATAAATTACGATTTTCTGCCACCAAGGAACAAGATGGGAGTAAAATAAGTTGAGATAGAATTTAAAAAAAAAAACTTATGTTCATTAATTACCATAGAAAATGTTAACAGTTGAGTCAAACTAAATAAACAGCATAGTGTTTGTTCAACATTAAACCGATCTGTTTTCGAATTTCACTGTGAATACGCCATTAGCAGATATCTAAAAATATGTCAAGGTGACCCGATTCAAGAACTTCCTCAGACCGACAGACAGGATTGAGTACAGAGATTTATGAATGGCTTTATTTTTGCTTCTAGATATATTTTAAGAATTTTCCTGTAATTACGGGACCTATATTTTTGTAATCTACGTAAATAACGTTGATATTTCGATTAACAAATACAATTTATAAATTCATAACATCAATATAACAAATATAATTTTTTTTTAAGAATTTTATCTCTGTACTTCGTAATTAAATTAAATTCTTGTTGATAATTTAGAATTATAGTCTGGACTCTTTTTGTCTCCCGATCCAAGACCTTGGTCTGGTTTTAAATAGTTTTTACGGTGAAGCACTAAGATGTCGAGTTCGTTAAATGAGACTGCACAAATAATATTCTTCGTAATCAATACTTCTTGATCATTCCAGAAAACCACTTTTTAACTATGTACTAACGTTATATTTTTATTTCATTTCCTAAATTTTCCCGCGTAAAATAAATACCATTACGATTTGTGATTTTTTTTATCTAAGCGTATCTGTGTAATAATATGTGATGTTTTAAATAAATTTTCGACTCACAACGTGAATGTTAAATCATACTGGAGCTGCCACATTTTGTTCGGATCACGAGCGACTAAAATTATATTTTGAAAATTTATGACGAAGTGTGGTGTACACAGAACTACTTATGAATCTTATATTATGATTCTGTTGTTTAATGCAATACAATAATATAAACATAATTTCGGTAAAACAAAACTAAATAAAAATCATCTTCCACACAGCTATGAAAAGGAGATAAAATCTTGATAATAGGAACTTGATTGAAGAAACAAAATCATTTTTAGAGGCAATTTCTTCCTTTTCCTGTTTTGCGAATAATACATTGTGTTTTTAGGTAAAGATTAAAATCTTTGTGATAGTTTTCATTTGTCGTTCTTAATTTACTTTTGTCATTAATCATAAATTACAATAATGTTTATTTACTTATTTTATTTACGCTATCAAAAGTGAAATCGTCAGTAAGCATGTAACAAATATGTACTTAACAAAAAACAGTGTTTATTATAAAAAAAGTAAGATTATCATAAATAATACTCTCATCCGAATCTAATAGGTATCAGATAATTAACTAATAGTTTGAACTTGTCAGATTTTTATTAATCATTATTAATTTTAATTATAATTATTTAAAAAAAACTCCAACTATATAATGGAAATTTCTATTATGTTATTTCTAAAGTCCTATTATATAGTAGGACTTTTCATTCTGCGGGTAACATATTGAGGTTAGCAGCGGATGCCATTACAGCGCTATTCAACACTTTAGTGCAAAAAGCTGATAATTAATACCAACCATCCTGATTACGTCAATGGAAATATGCCGTTAACCATGAATGGATCGTATTGCGATTGATTCATTCGTCGCGACCATCGATGTCGCGACGATCGTATTTATGTTAATAATAATTATGATGATAATAATCTTTGATTTATTTGTGTTTTTATTAGAGGAGGATTGCATCAGACAAGGAGGTATATGCGTGCGCACGGAGGAATGTGATCCAGACAACATATCGACGATTTCGCAATTTCTATGTCCAAACCAAGCGCACCTTGGAGTAGCCTGCTGCTATGTAAGTAACTTCTCAAAATTATAACAAATTAAATGAAGAAGAAACAAAAAATGAAAATTGTAACAAAGTTTTTTTTGTATGGACGAGTTTATGGTAAGTGATTACCAGAAGCCACAATAGTACAGTGGTTAACCCTTCGAAACCTATAAAATTATATATTGTAAATACTATTTCGGGCTCAAGACGTTTACGGACTAGCTCGCCTGTTATTTAATGGAATTGAATTGGCTCCGATAGCCATTTAACACCAGGCGAGCCTTGAGCTAGTCCATCCATCTAAGCAAAAAAAATATAGTACGGTCTCAATTTATTATTCCAGTAACTATAATTTCCTTACCAATAAGTGTTATTTAAAAATCATTAATTTTACAGGTCTGAAGAAACTCGGTGTCTTCTTACCGACGAATGATATAATCAAACTATATGGTTAAACTTAGCTTTAATATTTAAGGAACATGTTGAAATGTAAAATGTTTATATAATGCCCATTTACATTATTTTACATTATTTTTATTTTATTATGCTTAGATTTAATATTAATCTTAAAATAAATTTAATATAAGATATTGTTTCATTTTCGTGTCCATAAATATATTACACGGATTTCTAATATTTCATTTGTGGAATAAGTCTTATGAGCAAACTCGTTTCTAAGGGTCGTACCACCATTAATTCAAATTCAAATTAATTAGATATTGTTCGAAGCTAATTTCAACTAAATAGAGCATTGTGGCACACACAGTAGTCGAGTAGCACTCTCAAATTGCAAACTCCCGATCCACTATCGATGCTTTTAGGCAATCCAAACTTCGATCACCGTTCTCGTTGAACCCGTCCAATGCGACGAAGGGTTCGTCGTGAAAATTAACTCACAGGTACAGATCACTGAGTTTCTCGATGGATTTTTTCAGTATGTTCCGATTCGCGTGGCAGATTCAGCGTTGGTCTTGCTAGGGCTAGTGCTTGCAAAGTTTCCAGGTTGATTATCGTGAGCTTGTCTACACGTTCAGTAAAGCTACCAGGCTCGTGGTTACTAGCAATCTACTAACGAGATTCGTCGCAGTCAAGTATCACAGCTATAAAGCTCGGCAGCTATTAGCCGGTTTTGCGATAATTTGTCAGTCGCACACAGCACCGAATCTCTCGAGCGCGAGCGTGTGCTTTGCCGCGTCCAAGTCGCGTCTGCAGTCTGTGTGTCAATTGCTTTTGTTCCTGTAATAGCACGCACCACTGCATCTCTTCTGTGAGCAGTTATCAAGGATTTCGCTGGAGAACGGGTAGTATCGTTCTCTAAGCTATGAGCGTGCGGAATGAGAAAATAAATCGTAAAAAGTTATAGTTACATAATTTATAATGAATTAATACTAAGCAACCTATATGGTTGGTCACACGGACTTCGACAAGCATCCATACTATTTTACTATTACTTTTTTAACTTTATTTCACAGTATTTTAAATCGAACCCATCGAGGCGACGAAGGGATATTAGAAATAATATATTATGTTCCAAATTTATCAGGCCACAATATCCGATCCTGCGCTGCGCGCTTGGATACACTCACACTGTGGGAAGCTTAGCTACGTTACGTTTTTCCAATACATTACATTTTCCCAAAATAATATATTCGCAATTAAAAAGTTCTAATAACGATTTTATTTTTACATGTCAAAGTAAGGTAGTGTCATTTCTGTTGTTGTGGCAGAATAAATGAGAATTTACTTACATTAGTGAGAGTTTACTTTTAGCAAAACAGACGCTGAACTAGGGCCATTTGCCAATCGGTTGTTAAGCGAGATGTTCTTCTTCTCTGAAAATAATGACTCGCAGAAACTATACCAAACGACTAGATAAAATATGTTTAAAATACGCGTACGAGTGAGCATAGGCCGCAATTTCTTATTCTTATTTTGTTCAGTATGGTAATTGGCTTTTTGACATGCTAATATGGCCAGCGTTGACTTTAAGCAGCCTTCAGATATTACTTATTGTACATCGACATGTTATACACGATATACTTTGATATGACTATGAAAATTAAAATGATGCGCATTGAAAAGAAGTAAGATTTAAATGTTTAATAATAAATTGGTTAATTAGTTAGGATGAAATTGAATGAATTCAAATGAAATGAGGTGAGATGAAATGTTATCATGTCTTTATAAAATGCTAAGAATTCACTGAGACTTTTTAGCGGATACCAAGAATCTACATCCAGTGCCTTTTTTATTCACTTACAGTTTCACATATGCAAAACGGTAATAAGCTAACAAACAGTATTACACACAACAAAACCAACATTTACACACCTTTAAGCATGAGAAATGCTAAATTTACAAAATAAAAGAATTCACTCGACTCCTGAACTTTATTTCCTTAGATGGGGAAAGAACTCACGACCTAATTAGTAAAAACTTACCTTAGCCTAGACACATCACAAAATTAGTGGCTTTACTGACCTTCAGATGTGAAGTCGACATCCCAATTTTATTGTATAACGGGTGTCCCAGCTTTCCAATTCGAGATACACGACTCATTCGCGGCAGAAACAGGCAGGGTGGTGGTAACTACTCGTGCGGGCTTACAATATTCCTTACATTTAGTAAATGTCAGGTGCCTTTTAAGAAACCCATAGAAAGATATTTCGAATAATTCAGTGCCATCTATAGAATGTCATGAGTTTAATGAGTTAACAAATCGTAGCAACTGAAACAATAGAGCAACAAATAAAATGTTGCCTTACATGTTAGTGTGCTCATTAATCGCTAGATGGCAGTTTTTTCAGATAATCTCATCTTGGGTTGCTATTAAATAAAATATTTCGACGTTATCCAGATATATAATAAAAAATAATTCAGATTTTAAATTGAATTAAATTTGTACCGTATTGGAAAGTGTTTGCATTTGGCTTATTATTTATAGTAGAAGTATTTAAAAAGAACTTGAACCGTCAATCACATTAATTTAGATTCAGTGGAAAACTGGTGAACAATATTTGCAAATAACAAACTGAACTAACTAAACTGCTCTGTGTAGTGTAATGTAGTAGAGTTAGAATAAAATGCCAGCGAGAAATAATTGAATCAGAAGAATTAGGAATCATTCTGAAAACTAAAATTCTTATTAAAGGCAAAGTGAAGAAAATCAGAATATTTAAATAAATCGAATATGTGAATAATTTAAGTTCAGCGCTAGCAATGAATTTTACCAGCGGACTATTATGTTGCGAGATATCAAGATTTTTATTTCTATTTTTTGTATATCTTTACGGCTTCATTTAACTCACACATTACTGATGTTTCAGTTTTCCATTACTTCATCATTATCTTTATGGGTTTCACTGGTCCGCTTTTGGTGATAGTGATACTAGTTCTATCAAATCCAACCAGATTACCGTACCGTACTCATCAAACTCAACAATAAGACACTAAGCTTATAGCATTGGCTCACCGAGGTTCTTGCAAGACTTTCTCACTGGGTTCTTTCGCAAAACTTTCCGAGTTTATCGACCTTATTAAGAGGAGCTTCGGAGCTCGATAGAAAGCTACTGCACTTACAGCTTAGCTCTCGAGTCCGCCCATTCGTGGTAGTGAAGTAAATGGCAATTTAACAATACCAAAAAAAATTCGGCTCATCATCATTTTTCAATTAAACACCATTGTTCAGATGTCATGTCATTGTTGAGATGTCTATTTTCCCAACAAAACTACGATTCGCATGTGGGCTAGACAGGAAAAAAGTAACAACTGCATCATTATATTAATATCCTAAAATCAGAAGACAAACTGTATAATATGTACCTTGTTTTCGTAATATATTTAATTTGTAAAAATTTCCTTTTCGGATCCAATAATAATAAATCAAGCAGGATAGATAAGATAATCTAAATTCGTTAATCATGTTGCTTTGGTTCCTATTTCTTGTCTATACCGTATTTTCCATTCTATCAACTGGCAACACTTGAAACTAGCGACTTGGTATTCAATCAGTTCACTCACTCACTCTCATTTGAACTCGTATCAAGTTTCTCGGAGGTTCAGTTGCGTGTGGCTGCGTCGCGTTTGCGTATTATTTGCCGCCAATTTAAGCGCAACTCATCAAAATTTATCCTCTATTCAAGGTAAGAATTTTTTATTGTAAATATCTAATGTTAAGAAAGTTACTACTAACAAATACTATTTGTTTTTTATTTTATTTTTAGGACATAGGTAATCTGAATTATGTCTATTAAATAAGTTTTAAGACATAATAGTACGCTTTACTTTCTCATACTTTCTTTTTATTTAAGACTGTGTAAATAATATACATTTTACTATATTCCATGCAATAACAACTTTTTACATTTGTATTATATTTTTTTCAATTAGTACCATTAAATTAGTATTAGGTAAACTCGTTATTTCTAAGCTTTAAAATACAAATATGAAACAGCACACTTTTTTCAACAGCACACTTTGATTTAGGTAACGTCCGAAAAAACCTTCAGAAAAATTTCTCAGTACGTTTTTTTATTTGAAACTCTACATTAGATAAAGTTGCTACGACTCGGTACCTCAATTTGATCTACCAGAATTTAATTAGGTTTTTCGATTCCGGAGCTAATCCGGAGATACTCAATTCGTTTTTGATGTTTTGAAAGTAAGCCACGTACCTACCAGTTTTTAATCTGATAAATCTAGATTGAAGCACATTTTTTTTGCATTAGCTTTATTTTATAACTTTTTTTTTGTTTTGTCTCTGAATGTATTTTCTTTAGGAATTATTTTACACACGCGACGCGCTAATCATAATTACAGTCTTTTTAAAGAACGTCATGTTTTTTTTAAATAAATTTAGAATTCACTAATAACAAATGACAGAAGCAGTATTTTCATTATCTTTGGGCTATATACATCATACAGTCACCTTGAGACTTGAGCTTGAATTTTCAATGGTACTTATTATTGAACCGTTGTTCCGGGTGTTGGTTTTGCACTACCGGCACTAGGAGTTTAAGCCTAGGGCAACGGAATTTCAAGGGCGGTAATATTTAGGGTTGAACGAAAAACGTGTTTCTGAGTTTTATTAAAGAAGTTTCAAGAAGTTTTATCATCACTTAGAAAAAAAAATGTGATTATTATAATAACGAGGCTCGCATTGGTCTCGCCAAAGAAATATTTTAGTTATATGGTTATACATACTTTTGTTTCGACTAACATTTATTTTAAAATTCAACTTTATTCAATATCACGTATTATTATTATATGTCGTATTTTATTATGTATTATTTAATATTTTCACGCTACAAATGTGATACTATTTGGAAATTTCAGAAATTATGCTCCAATACTAGTTAATTCATGTAGGAACAGGGTGGTTCTTAAAATAAGTCTGGTCCTGATTGTCCCAGTCTTCAAAGGATTAATTACCTTTCGGCAGTATTAGCCAAAAAGTACTTATCCGTGAAAAAAACAAACCAACCTGACACTAGTCAATGCGGCTGGTATGCAACGTAATGTCGTTACATGCACCTTCTGGAATTAAAACTACAATGTATTACATGTATCTAACCCTTCTTATAAGGGTAACTCTTTTCTAAATCTTATAATACGATATTTTACAATACGATAACGAGATTTTTGTTAGAAAATATTTAGAAAATTACATTATGCACTATGGATTCGCAATTTATGAGAATAACCGAATTTTTACTGCTTCTTTTTTATCTGTAATAGGTAAAAATGTAAATACAGGCACGGTTGAGATGTTTCGTTCAGAAAAGTTACTCTCCTTTTTTTTTACAGAGTTTTTGTCCCATATAACACGGTTTCGCACAAACCCTGTTATATGGGACATATAGGACATATAGAGGAGGATTGGCTTACCTATTACTATTATTCAATTGACTAGTATTTTTTCATTAAAGCAGGTCAATAAGAGGATAATAAATATACTTATTCTGGCCATAAATACTGTTACAAAGGAAAACAAAAAAAATTCTATGGCAAATAACATTTATTACTTTTACAGTGTGTTAGTTTAAAACATAAATATAAAAGAATTTAAAGTATAAAAAGCTTATTCGAAGTGGTCTCCATTGGCTGCAATACAGTGAGGCCAGTTATCAATAGAAGCACGCATTCTTTCCATGGGAAAAATTTTCACTGCCAATCGTACGGATTGTTTATGGGACTCCAAATTATCATGACGTTTAGAGCATGCCGTACTCTCTAAAACTTCCATAAATCATAATCCAGCGGATTAAGATCGGGACTAGACGACGGACAGTCTTCAGCTCTGATGAAGTCCGAAACGTTCGTTTCCAACCAAGACTGCGTAGACCGAGCTTTATGACCTGGCGCCGAGTCTTGCTGGAAGGACAATTCTTGATTATTGAACGTGATGTTGTTAAGGGGCTTCACTACCTTCTCAAGAATGGTATCTTGATACACTTGTGCCGATGTCTTGATACCTTTTTCACAAAAGTATGGCCCAGTCACTCCTTCATAGCTAATACCCCACCAAACCATCACTGAAGTCGGATAGTGGCCACGTTGCACTTTGTCGACTAATTGGGAAGCTTCCTTAGAGCTTTGAGCATAAATACGGTCATTTTGTTTGTTAAAATGTGGCTCAATTGTAAAAAAATTCTCATCCGTAAACAAAATTTTTCTATGACCTCCCTTTGCGTACCGCTTCAGTAGTTTTTTCGATTTTACCGCCCTATTCTAAATTACCCCCTATTTTAAATTATCAGTTAAGAAATGACCAGTACGTCTCTTATAGGCTGCAAGTCCTTAGTCATCTTTTAAAATACGCGACATGGTTCTAGGTGCTATCTTCATCTCCCGAGATAAAATCTTTTGCTTTCGGACGGGATTTCTTCGAATTCTTTCCCTTACTGCTTTGACCACCTTTTTCGTGCGAACACTACGTGGATGGCCAGATCTTTTTCTGTCATAAACAGAGGAGGTCTCATTGCACCTATTAATAGCCCGGTACACAAACATTTTACTAATACCAAGCGTATGGAGAGTTTTAAAAATTGCATTTGGCTCCATACCTACTTTGTGTAATGCAATCACAGCGATTTGGTTCTCTTTATGATCCCACTCCATTTTAATATCGCAAAATATTGTACAATATTTTGGCGCCAAAATGAGAAAACGCAATGAGTAATCATATAAAAATGACTGATTCCAAATTCAAATGTAATATTTTGTTTATTTTTAATTGTAACAATATTTATGGCCAGACAAAGTAGTGAATGTTGTTTATCAGACATATTCGTTTTCAGACGAAAGTCTCAGACGAAAGTCACCACTCTTAGAGTAGGAAAGTATATTTTTTATTGCCCACATGGGTAGACGAGCTTGCGGTCTACTTGATTTGAAGAAGCGGTAGACAGCGGTTTGGCTCTGCTCCTGGCTCACGGCAGAAATAGGCAGGGAGGTGGTACCTACCCGTGCGGACTCACAAGCGTCCCACCACCAGTAATTAGTCGAAACAATAAAAAAACGTTTGCCAATTTTTTGTCAACACATTATATCGTGAGTGTGAGATATCATATATGTAGTAAGATTTGAAATTTAAGTGTATGATGCATAATATAAAGGATATCATCGGCACATTTCATAATTACGATTTTTTATATATATGTTCACAGATTTTATTAGGAATACATAATACTATTTAATAATACATACTAAAATTATTAATAATAACTATCTATTTTTATAGTCCATTCGATTTTTATTATTCGTTATCTTTGTTCATGAATGACAATAGAGGAAACACACTAACCGATGTGCTGAATAAGTGAGCCCACTAATGATTTTATTCTATAATCGAACCAATTTTGAACGGCGACAAAGAAAAATGAATGCTGTAAGCTGTTGATCATTTTACAGCCAAACAACTTATTTGAAGAATTGTTAAGCGGTTGTGAATTACCAAATTTATAAATGTATATTTTATCAGTCCAAGTGTTTTAATTGTGGCAGAAAGCGTTTTTTGAAGATGCACGGGATTTAATAATGTGTTTTCGGGAAACGTTGCAATTAATTTAATAGGATGGCCGTTATTTTAATTAAATTGTCTTATGCGAACGTTTCAAGGTGATCTTTTTGAGCTCCGATAACCTGACACCAGATAGATAGTGTACCAAAGAAAGCTATCGCTCGAGCGAAATTAATTATGACTATCTACTTAATAAGGCCGTACAAAGTTTTTTATTTTCAACGATCTGAGTGGCCTAATTCATAAGACGTCCGGTGTACTCGTATGACTAGGTCGATGTTCGAATCCTACAGGCGGGAACCTAATAAAAAAAAAAAAAATATTAATAAAAGAAATTCCATGATGAAATATTAACATCGTGTCGTAAAAATCAAATCCGCTAAAATATATTATAGTTAGTGTAATTAGGGTAGTTAGGGTACATAAAGGGTTATTAAACTATACCATACAATTGAGAGTGAGATTTCAGGCCTCATGCCTCAATTCACGTGGTGCTCATTCAATCGCATATGCAATCAATTCAAAAGAAACATATCTTATTTTTAGCGTTTAATTACAAAAAACAACAATAAGCTTCAAATTTAATGATTTTATGGCAGCAATAAACAATTATTCAATGAATCTAGACTGTTCTTGATTACGTTTGGTGTGAATACGTTAGAGCAGTGTTCATTAATACCCGAACCACAGGGTTCCTTCGCTTTGAGACTCAAGATCTAGTTAAATTATTCAAAAGATGTTACTCCTGTAGCTAGAATAGAAACGCTAAATTTCGCGGTAGCTCTCGCACGACTGTGTGAGTAAATAGCGGATTGTGCTGTTGCCAATCTTGACATGACCGTAAGCAGGCTTCACGGTTTGATTGCGTATTTTGAAAAAGTTTCGCTTTGGTACAATAGTTGTACTACTGATAATTCTACGCAAGCAGCCATCTTGAGAGATTGTGATCGAAATTGTATCGTTTAACGGTCCTTACGGATCCATTAGTTCCAATAACTGTTGCGTTAGGTACCTTCAGCTCTAGGAGCAGACTTAGGGACTCTGGTAACCGTACTCGTCCAACTGAGCAAAGCGTTTGACGTGCAACCTAACCTATACATCAGCCCATTGAGTTTCTCGCCG